CGTGGGCTTGTGCCTTGATGGAAAACCCAGTAGTTCAGAAGACTGGGCGTCTTCCCTGTATTCATTTCTCTTCTCCCTTGCTCTTCCCTTAAGACAAAATATATTTAGAAACGCTAGGACACAATGAGCTAAACTCTGCCTGTGCTACACCCATGTTTATAATGCATTCATTGTATTGCCTCTGCAAGTGCCCTCGCTATTATAGGGCTAGAGATAACTACCTTTCATCTTTGTCTCCTTTTTTGGACCAGAAAATTCATGAGAATTCTCTTCAACCATAACAGTGCTGTTCCAAGAAAGACTATCTGAGTTTTAATATGAAACTATGATCTCTGCTTCTTTAAAGGATGTCACACTGTGTCATTCCACTCACCTTAAAACAGCATCTTTCAAGAGAAATATTTAGTTTAGAAACAATTTCACTTTTTTTTTCTGCAAAAAAGCCATCAGATCTTTGGATCTGTCTTTATGAACCTGAATTGCCTGGGTGATCCTTGGGTGATGCTGTTTATGGTCAGCATGTTGTCAGCATTGCTGTAGAACCTAGACCCTTTCTTCCCACATCCGGGACTCCCACAAAGGGCTCTCAACAACTCTACTATTGCCCTGACTGAGCAAGGTTTCCCCCCAAAACCTCAGCATGTCCCCATTTGTGCCTATGCCAGCATCAGCCCCCAGGGCTTTCCTGGTGTCCTGAGTGAGCCTGCCTGGCAGGGGCAGGGTGTTTTTCCCCAAGCATCTTCTCCCTGCTGCACACCCAGGGATTCAACACGCAGCCATTGCAGAGGTGATTTTTTGCTATTAATGCTCAAAAGAAAGTTCCATTTTCCTGTTTCACATGAGCATTTCCCTTTTGAATTAGAGAAACCTTTTCCTCCCCAGCACCCTGTGTAAGGCTGTGAACATGCACCAAAGCAGCAAATTTCTTTGCTGGCCCCTGCATTCCTCTTTCCACCAAAATCCTGGTGGTTCCCTCGGCTGCATGGCACGTACCAGCTCCCAGGAGATTGTGGCCAGTGATACAGGAGTGATAAGCTTTTTCCTCAATTTCTTAGGAGTTAACAGCTGAAATCCTCTTTTTCTTCCCCCGCCCCACCTCTGCGTGTCAGCGCATGGTTGGGTTGGAAAATCCAACCCCGCGTGCCGCACCAGGATGTAGGGTTGGGTAACTCTCTCCGTGTCTCTGAGGATCCCGTTCCTTTCCCTAAGGGCTCAGGGGAGTGCCGGGGTGCAGCAGGGTTTGCCAGCTCTGCACAGAAGCTTCAGAGGCAGCGTGGAAGAAGCGGTGTAGGAAGAAACCTCCTTGCCTGCTGCCGTGACAGCTTCTTCCCCCAGCGCCGCGCTGGCCTTCCCCCAGCACAGGGCTGCCCAGCCGGCTCCTCAGATGCTCTCCCAGCAGGCAGGCGTGGCAGGACGTTGGCTTTGGGAGCAGAGGTATGTACCTGGCCCTGCAGGAGTCGAGCTGTGTAGCTGCAGCTGACACTTTTCAATGACTCATAACTAAAATGGTGAAGGGGTGCTCGTAGGGCTCTAACTCCAAAAATGAAGCCGAGGACAAAATTACTGCTGGTTCTGTGTGAGGTCTGCTTGCTGCCAGCCCTTCTTGCAGTGGGCCAGTGGGCAGCTGAGATCTGCTGTTAATATGAATTCCTCCCTCCATCCTGGTCTCCAAGGTCCTACACTGTGTTCTGGCTGCTCACAGCCGGTGCTCTGTCTCTGCTGAGCTGGTGCCACCCTCAGTCCTCGCCAGGCTGGGTGGTCCCGCTCCTGGGTAAGGCAGTGAGGAGCACCCTGCCTGGCAGAGCATGAGTGCAGCTGGGTCTGGATGTGTATGGATAGGGAGTGGGGTAATCTAGTTGACTTAAAAACAGATATAGCCCCTGTTCTCAGCCTATGGCTGCTGTACAGAGAACTGGGAATGAGCAGCTGAGCATGTGAGATGGTTCATGTTTGAAGCCCTGGAATTAGCTGGTCTTGCCATGCTCCTGGAAGCCCCTGGCTCCACCACAGCCTGTGGCTGATGTGTCCAGTGAGGAAGGAGTCCCCACAAGCAGCTGCTTCTAAAGTGCATGGTTTGTGCTTCCCATATCCATTCAGATCAGTGTGACTGAAAAGCTGGTGGAGGAGGAAGTCTCAGGGCACCCACAAGGTGGGCTTGGAAGCAGGCAATGATGAATGAGCTTGTGTCTCTCTCATCCTGATGGGGAGAAGTCTTGTGTACGCCCACCAGCTCTGGTGCCAGGACTAGTGCAGAGCTGAAAAGCTGAGCTGCCCTGCCCTTACCTGCAGCACACGGAGAGACTGCGCGTGGGTGCACAGTGCCTGTAACAAATCTCTCTTTGCCTCCAGGTTTAGGCCACTTTTTTAATAGCTCTTAGTGCTATTTAAAGGCCAAACCCTCAGAGATGCTGTGCTAAGTCTCCTGGGAAGGTGCTTTGGGCACTGTGTGGTGCATATACATCAGGTCTGCAGCTGCAAGGAAGGTGCTGTGTTGTGTATGCCTGTGGCTTTCTGGCTGCTTGCAACACCTCTCTCTGGGTAAAGAGGTTTCCCAAAGCCAGTGTCTTTCTACTGTGCTTCCTCTGTAAGGATCCGAGACCAAGGAGGCTCAAACTGCACTTCTATTTCTGGAGGAGCTTCTGCTGGTTTCTGATTATATTTAGGAGCTGTCTAGGACAAGGTGACCATCCCATGGTGATGTGTTGGGAGTGCTGGGGAGCCACAGCTGAGGCAGGCTGGTACTCCCAGCAGCTCCTGTGCAAGCAGAAACTCCTCCAGCCACTTAGCAGAGGATTTGCAGTCCCAGCTCCAAAGCAGGAGAGACAATAAAACTCCTAAATAGTACTTTAAATCACCAAAGTGCTATCCAAACATGAAAGACTCCAAACACAAATGAAAGTGCTAAACTGATTTAAAGGGGAATTAAAAGGTCACGCCTGTTGAACATTTAGCTTTAGAGTTTAGTCATGTTTATGAAACTTATAACTGCTCTTCTAAATCATCTTTTTACACTTCCTATATCCAGTAAATGTGAGGATGTTCAGAGCTAATGACTAATTTTAAAAAATTTCTGTTCTAAACAAATTTCTGCAGCCAGAGCTTGGCCCTTTCTTTTCCCCCCTTCCAGCTCTGCCTTCCCACTTCATGGAAGGCTCTTTAAAAGCATCTGAACATATCACTTGGAAATGCTTATGGGAAAGAGATGCATTTCTCATGCACACACCCCACAATTGTGAAGTGAAGTGTAGTTATGGTCAAACAGCAGAAGAACAGGGATCTAACTCCATGAGTGGGCACAGCAAGGGAACAGCAATGGAAAGTTTTTGTGTCCAAAACCAGTGTGAAGTTCTGGAGGTTTCAGCAACATCAAAGGACGTAGGGTTGGGTTGAGAAGGCCAGGCCTTTCTCATTCAGCTTCTTGTGCAGATGGCTTCACTGACATCGCGTGACTTGGCATTGTTAACCTTGCTTGTGTATCGTGAGTGCATATGGGCATTATGCTCCTGGAGTGTTACATGTACAGAATCCATATCAATGCCCTCTGCTATGCCAGAGGAAATGCTTCACATAGTTACAGCAGCACTGGGAGTCAGTGGCAGCCCTGTCTGACCCGTGTCCACCCTGCCTGGTAATGCCAGACTGAAAGGATGAGTGATGCGGTATCATCACACCACAGCGTGTGCCTGCCCTGAGCCTTGTGGCGGGAGGAGATCCCTGTCCACCCCTCTTCTTTGGGTACATGAGCTCTGGGCATTTCAGCTCATGTCATGGCCCTTGTCAGAAAGCAGACTAGTCCAGTACCAAGATTTCTGGGTCACCTCCTGAATGTGACAGAAAGAAATCAAACTCAAAAAATCAAATATTAAGAACAAAGTAATGCTTTGTTCCAGTCATTGAAGTTACACCTGCATTTGGTGTCTCTGACCCAAGTGCTTCCAGGCAGACTGTAAATATGTCATCCTGGTTTAAATCTCTAAAAACTTACCTTTGAATTGTAGAAGAGAGTGTTTGACAGCCCCTGTCCTATGATTAACTCTATCTACCAGTTTAAATCAGCCAGATTGGAAATGACTGTGACTTTTACTATCTCCTGCTGGTCTGTATTCACAACATGCCCTGTGCTGACACCCCTCTTTCTCAAAGGACTCTGGGGTTTGGCTCATCCCTTGGGAGGATATAGCAAAGCCTATAGCTCCCATCCCAGATTACTGACATGTACAAGCACAGGTTTTGTATTCAGGTTGTTTCTTGCAGGAAGGCTGTGCCTAACCAAACCACTGCCCTCTGGGACACTCTGTTGTGACTTTCAGGAGCTGAGTCTCCTCCGTATCCTAAGCTGTAGCCTATAGGGAGCTGAGCTGGTCTTCAAATCAAGGAACCAGAGACTGATGCAGTTGTTGGCTGTCAAGAAGGGCACACCTCCTGGTCTCAGCATGTGGGAACTAGAAGCAGTTCGGGATTCACAGTGGCAGGGTTGGGAAGGCTGCAGGGATCCTTCCCTGCAGGCAGCATGAAAGTGAGAAGTGCTAGAGCCAGCACAGGCACAGGAGCCCATGTCCCCAGCGTGTGCTGCGCTGCTGCAGCAGCTGATGAGCTGAAATAATGTTTGGAACCAGAAAGATGATGGTGAATACCCTGGAACTGGGAAGGGGATCAAACACAATCTCCAGATGGAAAGGGAGCAGTTTCCATCAAAGCCGATGACAAGTTCCCTGATAGAGGGATACAGGGTCAGATCTTTGGGCAGCACATCCCATTTCTCAGCTGGACGCCTGATCTGGCTGCCTGCAGCTCTGTGCTCCAGCATGTTGCACCAATGAGCTGCAGTGCTCTGGGTGTCTTCTCACAAATCAGTTTACCAAGGTTCACTTTGGCTACCAGCAAGGATTTTTATAGTCTGATAACTTTTAAAGGCTAGCTGCTTTCTGAGGAAGAAGCATGGTACAGGTTAAGTAGCACTCCACCAAAAGTGATTAGCTGTTTCTGAATTACTCACTTACCTTTTCCAAGCTGAAAGTTGCTTAACAAATCTTACTGATGTGTACGTAATGAGTAACAAATACATTTGCAGAGATCTGGATCAGTTCCCACTCAGGAAAGTAGGCTGAACATATCTGATGCTGGCAATTAATAATTCCACTGGCTTTATGGGAGGGTCAGTTCTGGCTGATCTGCATTAGGAGGTGTTCAGCTTTGCTTCAGTAAAGGCTCTCCACCAGAAGAAATGCCTTGTGGAGACAACAGTAGCTCTGAGGCTCAGCTACTCTGAGCTCCAATGCAGGCTTCACCTTTGCTCTCACTTAGGCTTTTTTGTCTTCTTTCCTTCTTTGCCAAACTGGACAGAGAGGTCTAACACCCCCTGTCCTCTCTGTAGCCATTTCCCCTGAGCGTGGTGTTGACGTGACTCCTACTCTGCTCACGCTTTGTGGGTGAGGAGGTTCCAAGTGTCCTTCCAGGCGATGGGTGACTCCTGTGCTCCTGGCTCCCACAGCCGCTCTGTTTCCTTCCATTGTCATAGGGGAGGTCAAGCTGAAGGACTGCTGCTCACTCATCTGCCTTTGCTATTTCTAATTCTCCTTGCCTTCATCACAAGCAGGAAGAGGGAGCCTGCAACAAGCTCCTGGCTTTTTCCAATACACTGGAATATTTTTTCCATGATCCAAGCAGATGTTCCTGGCTTTCATGCATTTTTACTGAGGCTCATCTATCATGCATGCTGGTCTCTGCAGACAGCAGAGAAGAAGTAGCTTTATCTCTATGATCCTCTACCCCAGATCCTTGGTCTTGGTGGGACAACTCCCTGATCCCTCTGGTGAAAAGGGTATTCCTTACAAAACCAGAGGGGAGTGGTTTCTCTCTTGTCAAAGACAAAATTCTTCCTGGCTAAAATGAGGCTATTCTGAAAAACAAAGTGTTTGAAGTAAAAGAGTGCACATATTAGGATTTTTTTTTTCTCACTCTAAATGAGATGGAATCCTTGGAAAGTAGCAGAAGCTGCTACATCCCAACAGAAGAAACTACACCCCAACCGGAGCATCTATACTGCAGCCATCAAAATAATTTATCTAATGAGGCTTGGGGTTTTGCACTAGAATTTCTAGGCACCCAGAAATGCCTGTCAGTCATCACACTGTATTTCCTTGTATTAACTTCAGTGAAGTCTGATGTTGGGCCTCACTTTATCTTTGCTCAGTGACATCTGCGGGACGTGGAACTGGCATTGCTTCTGCCAGGTTTTGGGTTTGTATTATACCTTTTGTGACTAAATCAAAAAATGCCCACTGATCCAAAGCTCCCCTATCCCATTTCCAGCCGCTCCTCTGGCCAAAACAAGACTATTCAGCTGCTGTGCAGTACAGAAGCATCGGCAAGGATGAGAGGAGTTTGTGTAGGAGGAAGATGATTCAAAATATGGACTGTCCCTTGCTGCCAGCATCAGGGTCAGTGGTCACAGCCGGGTGCATGCAGAAGCAGTCACTGGGCTCTTTCTCTTGATGCCAGGACAGAGGCAGCCAGGAGCTGAGAGATGGCAAAGCCAAGCAGAGCATAAGCCCAGCTCTGCATCATCACATCACAGGTTTTTCACCCAGTATCCTGCATTTTGGTCCCCCCCATGCCAGGACACACCAGCAGGAGGCATTCTGTGGTACCTGTCAGCTCTGCCCCACCGCCCTCCGCACCCAGCGTCCAGCACAATGAACAAAGCTGGCCTCCCTGCCGTGGCTGGAGTGACAAGGTTTTTCCCAGTCAAGGGAAACAATCATCACTAGGGAAACCTTAACAACTTTTTAAAGAGCAAAAGAAAACACATTCATTCTTTTAAACATGGAAAACTAAATGGCCTCTTTTTCCTTGGCTGTAAGTGCATGGCTGTGGAGCAGGCTGGCATGGAGTCAACTCTGCAGGCAAAAGCTCCCCCCACTCATTTAGTTATTGAGGAGGGCTCTGTGGTGCAAAGTCTGCCTTTCTCAGCTCTAGCTGCCTAGGTTTTTTAAACCAGAAAGGCTCTGGCCACGTGACCCTTCTACTTGTGAGTGAAACATCTTGTGGCCTGCAATATCACACCTTCGTGTCACTTCTTGGAAGAGCTGGAAGTGAAGCCCCAAGGAGCAGGGCTTTCTCCAGAGGGAGGGGAAAGCTAGGGTGTCACTTATGCGAGTCCCTGGGCTGCAGCAACTCCAATGAAGCCTGGGGAAGCAGCAGGCATTGGTGACACTGCTGTCTCCTCATAGTTTTCCTACACCTCTTCTGATCCTAGGATATTTCATAATTTTCCTGGGAGAAAGGAGCTGAAGTTCTTTTCACAATTGGGAATATCATTACTTTAATGCTGCTCCATCTCTTTTCCATCCCCTGGCCCAGGTGTGTAATCTTCCCTCTAACCATGCATGCTCTAGTTAATAAAAAGCACTGAAATACAGGTCCAGCTCTATTGCTGGACACTCACATTGGAGACATTCACATGACTGAACACACCGAGGTTCATGTGACAACAGCCAGCTTTTGTTGAGTGCTGCTCTCCTTGCACACATTTGGAATTCTGTGTGGTCAGTCCTGGCTGGCTGAATTAGTTGTCCCCCTGGCCATCCCCAACGGCTTTACCTGCTCCCCAACAGCCCGACCGGCCGAGTTATGTAACTGAGGCAGTTACAAAGTTAGTTACATTTCAGTTATAAAATTATAATTAGGATTATTTAGAACTGTGAGGTCTCCAGGCCAGCTGTTAGCCACCACGGTTCCCCCTTTTTGTTTTTAAATACAAATGCAGTGTCTGTCATTCAGGGCTGTTGCAGAGAGGATGACAAATATGGCACAATGTATGGAACAGTCATGATGACACAAATAAAAAAATCTCGACCTAGGCTTTAAAAAGCTCAAATGAGGCTTTCCACCCAACTTGGCAAGCACAGCCCCTCCCAGTCAATGATGTATCTGTATCTGTATCATTGGAGATATAACAGTCATACCCAGGAGCTGTCAAACAGGATTACCAGCAATACAAATCCTCAAAATGGCATGACACGAGGTCATTACTTAAAAGTTACCATTTTACAACTTAACTCTGTGAACCAGAAACACTTCAACTTTAGAGCAGTGAGAAAACCAACTAACAGGATAAACAATTTGTCTTAGTTCAGGTTTGTGATTCATGTCCTTAAATAGAAAAAAATCCTTAAATAAATTGTCCCAGATCCCCATGTAGCAGGTGTACAAGTCATTTAAACCACTGCTCCATGACATCTGCTGGGGGCCATCAGGAACGTGATTTAGGAGATTGGACATCACTGGATGATTGCAGTGATAAAAAATGCTTTAAAACTACTGGATTCTGGGAATTTTCTAGTATTGTTAAATTGTTCAGGATATATATAGCTTTAGCCACTCTGCTCTGTGGTGTCTCACCAGACGTTCCCACTCTCTGTTTATCGTATCCATTTTAAAGTGCCATGTGCATGTTCCACAATGGCCTGTCGTGTTGCTGAGTGGGGAACACCAGTGTGGTGTGACAAGCCCCAGAGCTGTAGGAATTGTCTTGGTCTGTGTGAAATGTATGCAGGGCCATTGTCTGTTCTGATGGTGTGGGGGATACCTAAAGCAGCAAAGGTTGATTGCCAGTGTGACGGTATCCCCACTGCTTTCCCCTGTGTGTACTGTAGCCCACATGGCTGAGGGGAAGGTGTCAATTGAGACATACACATATTTTAGATATCCAAATTCAGGGATGTGTGTGACATCAGTTTGCCAAATTTGTAAAGCTCCCAGACCACGGGGATTAACTCCCATTTGCAGTGTGGCCTTGGCAGTCAGCACAGCTGTTAACTATATGACAAGCCTCTGTGTTTGACAGCAGAAATTGACTCTGTAGGGCTTGAGCACCTTGATGGAAGAAAACATGTGATGCTTTTGCTCATGCGAGCATATCTGGCTGTGGTGCTGTCCAAGCAGGGCTAGCTAGGCGATCTGCACGAGCATTACCCTCTGCGATGAAACCTGGTAAATTTGTGTGACTTCTAAGATGTAAGATGAAATAGGGACAAGTTCTGGCCTGGATGGTATGCCATAACATTCTTAGTAGGTCAAATAATGGTGCATTGTCAATTTCTTTTAACAGGGCTAGGTCTAATCTCTGTGTCATGTCAGCAATGCAGGCAGAGTAAGTTACAATATTTAAAGGAATATGGGGAAAACGTTGAAAAGCCATAGCTACGGCATGTAGCTCCACCAGCTGTGGTGATCCACTCTAAAAACTTTCCAATGTTTGCCATTCATTTTCCTCTCTCCACGTTACAGTGGCTTTTCCTGTTTTCCCAGAACCATCACTAAACACTGTAACACCTTTTAGGGGTGTGCAACTATTCAGTGGTTTTAGGAATAGTGCAGTGGTCCCACCCAATTGCAGTAATCCGTGGCTTGATAGATGGTAACTAATTGTTCCTGTGGCACAGGTATAATAACTTTATAAGGATCTCTTGCACTTAATTGTAAGCATCTCTGATGGCGTTTGATGATTAATTCTGCAGTTATTCAAAGATGGTAGGGGCTGTCTTTTTAGGTTGGTGAGGTAGGAATACCCATTCTAAAATATGCAATGGGTCAGGCCACTGAGTATCCCCCTGTCCACTAATTCTGGTAGGATGAAAAGCAATGATGAAAATAAATACAGTAATGCACACCTCTTGGCATATCTGGTGGACTTGTCTGTTTGTGATAGCCTGCTCTACTATTTCAAGAGCAGCTTTTGTCTTTGGGGTTAATTTTCTGTGAGAATTTAGATCACCTCTTAGGATGTTAAATAAGGGTACCAATTGTGAGGTGGCCAGTCCTAGATAGGGTCTGAGCCAGTTTATGGTAACCAAAAGTTTTTGTGCGTCGCTTAAAGTTTGAATTTTTGAAAGTCAAATTGTTTGTGGTTGTATGGTCTGATCTATCATTTTGAGCCCAAGGTACTTTCAGGGTGCTTACTGCTGCACTTTTTCCAGTGCTACTTGCAGCCCAAATGTTTTTAATGCTTGCATCAGTCTTGGCCAGGTCTGTGAAAGGTCTTTTTTAGTTGGGGTTGCAATTAAGAAATCATACATGTAGTGGTAACAGTGTGCCCCTGGAAATTGTTCTCTTACTGATGATACGGCCTGAGCAACGTATCATTGGCAAATTGTGAGGCTGGTTTTCGTTCCTTGTGGTAAAGCTTTCCATTGATAATGCTGAACTGGTGCAGAATTATTAATGGATGGCACTGTGAAAGCTAGCTTCGGGGTATCATTTGGTTGTAAAGGAATAGTAAAACCCCAGTCTTTTAGGTCCACAACCAGAATATCCCAGGTGGCAGGAATCATTGTAGGAGATGTCATACAAGGTTGCAAAGCACCCATGCTTTCCATGAGTGAATTGATTTTTCTCAGGTCATGGAACAACCTCCATTTACCAGACTTTTCTTTTATAACAAATAGAGGGGTGTCCCAAGGGCTCATGGATGGTTCTCTGTGCCCTTGAGCTAGTTGTTCTTTTACTAGGGATTTAAGGGCGTGAAGTTTCTCTTTCTCTAGGGACCACTGTGGTACCCACACAGGTCAAGTAGTAAGAATTTTAGGGTGAGTGTGGGATATTTTACACCCTTTAACACAGTGGTTCCCATTAAAAATCCATCCCTACAGAGTCCCTGTGCAGACAGAACACCCCTCCCACACAGCAGTGATGTATGGCCGAATCGTGGCTGTCTGACCCTCAGGATTTTTGACTAACCCAGGTCTGCTACTCAAACAGTTCTGTGTGTTCCCCCTGGGGCCAGCAATGGCAGATTCCACAGCCGTAGTGGGCCCTGATGGAGGCCAAATGTTGTCAAAGATGATGGTGACATCTTCCCCTGTGTCAGTCTCCACTGACCTTTATCTGCGAGAGGCTCGCCCGAGGCATCGTGATGGTACAAACCATATTAGGTCTGTGATCACACACGACCTGGGTCCAACACACCTGGGGTTCTCCTGTTGACCCAAAGCCTCAGGAATGTTTGGTTCCATAAAATCATAGGAAAGCATAATTTCAGCAAATTAAATCAGTTACTGCCTATCTCTGGCAGAATGCATGGAAAGGGAAGCCCTGCTGGCTCCATGCATGGGGAATAACACCAGGCAAATTCCACCAGTGTCTGTGCTGGGAAAGGGAGGCAACAGGCAGACTGAGAAAGGCACGTCTCCTTTGAGCAGACATTAAAGGAATAAATATGCAATAGAGAAAATGTACAGTGAGCACTGAGCTCATCAGTCACTTTTTGTTTAATCTAATTAAACAAAATATATCCTCTGACCTTCTGCACTGGCACTAAATCCTCCTGTGTTGTTCTTTCCATACGAAGATCTATTGACAGATGGGGAAAGCCTAGAGTTTGCTTTAAGCTTCAGATAAGTAAAGTTAAACATACAGCAGATAAAATTGTTTTCCCAGCACTCTCTCCCCCTGACTAATTGTGGGTGCTCACTGGGAGGGATTAATTCCTCTGGCCTGTATCCCACCCCTGTCTTGGGGTACTGCTCTGTGCGGTAAGCAAAAGCTGTAAGAGGGCAGAAGCAGAGTGCTGCAGAAACCCTGAAAAGTTCTTTTTTAGAGTTGGTTCTGCAGTTTCTGAGCCTCTTTTCCATGTGGCAGACTATTAGGGAAAACAGTGCCATTCCTTGCTAAATATATTTCCAGAGTCACTAAATAATTTACTTAACAGCTAATCAGTTGGCATTTGCTGATGCTGAACCAGGTTTTAAATAAAAAGTGTCGAATTGCATCAGACACCTCGTGCATATTCCCTACTTATGCAGGCTCCGTGCTCTTGCTGCCTGTGCAAGAGTGCAGTCAGTCCACACAGCTTCCTGAGTTTTCTAGGAGGCAGAGCAACCACAGGGCTGGATCTGGGGGAGAGTTGGGTGTCAGGGTGCCACATCAGGTGCAGGCTTTGATCATGCAAAATGCTTGGAAATGTGCTCACCTTTTGAAATTACCACCTATGAGCTCACCTCCTTGCAGGCAAATGAGAAGAGCAGATATCTGCCCTTCACCTGCATCACTTGGTAATGCCAACTGCAGAACGATTTTTTCCAGTATAGTGAAAAATCCTTCGGTCTGAGTCGGAGGAGTTACCACAGGTAACACCTCCATGCACCTACAGCTGTGGCTGTGCTCCTGGATGTGTGAGCAAATAACTCCTTGACATGTAAACCAAAAGTTACAGACAAGCCTGGAGGCGATGACCTTATGGTTCCCAATAGGCAGTGTTTAAGAAGATTTCTTTACTGTAAATAGCCTTAATACTCCATTTGTCTATTAATAGCACCAGGCAGGGCAGGAGGCAGCAGAGGGGCTGTTTCCTGAATGTGGTTGTGGAGTGTGACTGGAGTGGTGTGAACCTCATGGTTTCTGTGGCTGGCTGAAGAGCCTGGCATGAGGGTTGGCATGACCAGGATCCCAAGCCATGGCCTTTGAGATCTCTGAATGCCCATCAGTGTCTGAATAAACAGAGACCTCTTGTCAGGGTGAAGGACCCTGCTGATGGTTAGAAGCCTTTCAATGGAAAGTACAAAGACTGACTTTTTGGAGCAACACTCTACCTAGGGAGAATTTTGCTATCTTCAGTCAAAGGGAGAGGCAGGATCCCTGGGGGCATTGACCAGTGGTGTTCCTCTATGGTCCCCTTCTGCAGCCTGTCCCAGAGATCAGATGGAGTCATGCAGCTGCTGGTTTAGCAGGGGAGCTGTGCCTTGCAAAACTCAACCTTTTGAGCACTCCCACGACAGAGCAACATCAGAATTGTGGATCACCCCTGCAGCAGTGACAGCTGACCTTGCAGTCAATTTCCAGCAGGTTGGGAGTGGCTCGAAATGGATGAAGCTGCCTCAAGCTTCACCATAAAAAAAAAGTCATTACACATGTCCTTAAAACTTGGGTTGGAAATACCTGGCTAAAGGTGTGCCTGAAACCAGGTGAGGCCTGGATGAAAATGTTTCCCTCTGGCGTAAGGAGGGTGAGGATGTGCTACCTGTTCCTCGGGTGGCTGTGCTGAGTGTGTGGCTGTGCTGAGTGACTGGCTCTGTGTTCCGTTCAGATCAGCAGAAGGGTTGTTGTTGTTGTGTTTTGTGTCTCCAGGGGACTCAGGGTCATTACCCTACACTGGGAGCAGTGCTGGAATGGGGAGCATCACTCCTGGGAAAGCCCTGGCAGGGGGAAGCCAGAGTGGCCTGCCCTGCTTTAGGGAGTGTTTGCCTTCATTCTGCCTGTACCTTGAAGTACCTCAGGGTTTTAACTATAAAGCTCTCACAAAAACAAAATCTTGGCTTGGGAAGGCACATTGCCTTGGCATGTTTCCTGGGACCGAGTGACTTACAATGCTGTGCTGCAAGTGAGGGGAGGACTCCTTCTTTTAGAGGAGGTGGGTCACACTCATTTAGAGTCCAAACTCCCCCAGAGACATTTTTTCCCCCTTTTTTCATGACATCAGCCAGGATTTGATGTTACTATTTTAAAAACAAAAGGAGGGGACACCCCCCCGCTTCCCCTTCACTCTCTGCCAAAAAGAGAACAAAGAACAGCTAAAACACACAAGTTCTGGCACTCTGTGTGGAAATAAAAACATTCATCCTCATGTCAGGTAGGGAACTGCCCAACCCCCTGCCAAAGCAAGCAAGGCAGGCAGCAGAGCGAGCCCACAGAGCGGAGGAGCCTGGGAGAAGGGGATGCCCGGTGTCACCCCACGCTTGGGCAACTCCTGCCAAACTCCTGCAAGACTGTACCAGTGCCAGGCTGCACCAGGATGCTCCTGGCCACGGCCATGGGCAGCCTTCCAGAGAAGGGCTGCCCTGCTCCTCCCAGGCTGAAAGGTGGGGAAGGACCTTTATTCTTCCCCTCTTCCACCCGTGTCCTGCCCACCGCTTGAGCGGCCCCTGCATCTCCCTGCTCCCCAGTGGGCTGGTGCATGGCACAGGGATAACCCAGTGTGATTTCCACGCTTTACACACTAACGTCTTTGTCTGCCTTCTTGTTCGCCATTTAAACATGTCAGCAGTTCCCAGCATGGATTCTTGTGCTCTGAGTTCACCCCCAGCAAGCATCCAAACTGCAAGTTGGGGCTGCTGGCTCTTCCCTGCCTGTCTGTGAAGCATTACTGGAACAGGGGCCAGTTCTCCAAACATGAGGAAGAGATTACTTGGGCTTTCTGGAAGGCTCCCTCCCATGCCTTCAGAGTGGAGCAAATGAGGATAATTTATCTGCTGGCTTCCAGCTGAACCCAGAAGCTTGGAGCAGCCAAGGACTACACTGTTTGTCCCAGCTCCCACAAGAAGGCATTTTTCCATTGTTGCCGTTGTATATCATTCACATAATTTGTTTGTGCCGTCACCTTCTGGGGCCAAGATAAGAGGTCATCCCCTGCCTTTTACTGGTGGTGTGTTCCCTAGAACAATCCAGGGAAAAACTTGCAGGAAGGAGCCATTGAGGGAGGCTTTCGTACATCCAGTGCAGCCTTCGTTAGAGTCATGTAAATAATTTTGAGCAATCTATCTGGTGAGAAACACAACGTGTCAGAAGGGAATTGTTCTCTGAACTGTAGTTACAGATGGGCCAGAGCAGGCGGATCAGTGCATGAGGGTTGCCAGCTTAATGGACACAGCAGCTGCCTTTCAGGGGGAACAAAAGCCAGGCAGGGATCCTCTGTGTGCCTGTGCTCTTGTTCCCCTCAGGACCTGCAGCTCGGTTTTGTGGCTGGATGTCAGTCCCGGGTTGCCTTCCCACTCCATCTGCTGTGATCTAATGCGGTGCTCAGGGATGGGTTAATGTCCCTGCTGCTCCCGCAGAGGGATGCAGGGAGCGGGGATGAGGCAGTGCGGATGGCTGGGCGCTCTGCAGCAGGAGCAGCCAACTGGAACAATGCTGTAACGCCATCCACTTCAGTGAAGTTACTCGTGATTTTTGAATGTAGAGTTGAAGCCCAGCGGCTCCAGCTTGGCACAGCACAATGGGAAAAGAGCAGATTTTCTGTTTGCTTCCATCCTGCGCTGGCTGTGGTGCCTCTTTCCCTGTCCAAAACAGCTGCATGCTGCCTGAAGTGACTTTACAGACAGTAAAGGCTTAAAACATCGCATTTACCTTCATGATTTTTTTTTCCCTTAGAGCAAGTCATGGAGGAAGATCAAGAATATGGTGCACTGGTCCCCGTTTGTGATGTCTTTCAAGAAGAAGTACCCTTGGATCCAGCTAGCGGGACACGCAGGTACGGAGCATGGGGAGGGACAGAGTGGTGGCAGGGCCCTTGGTTATCCCAGGTTAATGAGCTTGGTTGGCCTGAATTTCTTTAGGCTGCTGCATGAGTGTCACAGCTTGCAGCTCTCAGTCTCTAGCCCAGCAGAGTGTCTTACCTAAATGTTAGTGAGGGTAATGTGAAGGTCTGGGCTCTGGGCTTTCAATCTCCCTGGGCCAGCAGGTATTATTGCTGCTTTTTCCTCAGGCAGAAGAGAGCTGGGTGCTCTGGGTGAGAGCCAGGCCCACCTCCTGAGCCACTGCAAAGTGGGTGATGCTGCCCAGCACAAAGTTGCCCCACACATGACACAGACACAAAGATGTGAACTTACTGAGAAGTGCACAGAGGGTGTGAAGCAAATGTGTGCTGCAGGACAGGTCTCTGCCTTCTTTGGGGTGCTGGTCACAAACCTCTGGCAACCTGAGCTTTTCAGTCCCTGACTGTAGGGACTCCTTTGGGTGCAGGTGTAAATGGAGGTGCTTCCAAGGTGTTGGGCTACCTTTCCTGTTTTAGAAGGCACAGCATCATCCCCCCTCCGTGCAAAGCCACATTGTCCCTTGTCACCCTCAGGTAGTTTCAAGGCAGCAGCCAATGGCAGGATACTGAAGAAGCACTGTGAATCGGAGCAGCGGTGCCTCGACCGCCTCATGAACGATGTCCTGAAGCCCTATGTCCCTGCCTACCACGGAGATGTAGTCAAGGATGGGGAGCGATACAACCAGATGGAAGATCTGCTGGCTGAGTTTGACTCCCCCTGTGTTATGGACTGCAAAATGGGGGTCAGGTGAGTGGCACTGGGGTGAGTGTTTTCTGAGTTTAAGAAGGGATACTCAAAAGTAAATACATCTCCTAGGTAAAACTGCCTGAAACACACAATTAAGAATACCAGGCTCACCTGTCTTCAGGTAAAGCTCAGCAAATACCATGAGAGAGCCATGGGGAAACCTGAATGTGGAAAGGATACACCAGGCTCCTTCCTTCTCTGCTTGTTGTCTGTCCTGCATGCTGGGAAAGGTTTATTGTGGCAGAGGGGAGAGCACTCTGCTTGGGTTTGGGTACATGGGAACGGCACAGTAGCTACTCAAAGGGTCTCTCTGCCATGTGACGACACAGCCAAAGGATGGGGGGTAGGAGATCCTGCCCAGGGTGCCAGAGGGGTGAAATAAAGACACTTGAAAGGCACAATTTCAGTGAGCAAGAAATTTTCCCTCTGCTCAGCCTTTCCTCCGATGTGCACTGGAGGGATAAAATGCGTATGCTAAGTAGTTCAGTGCCTTTCATGCAAAGCTCTTGAAATATTTCCTAACAGATGAGCAATATTACCCGTGTCCTCCTTGAGAACCATCTCTCCAGATCCATCAGGATCCCAGGCTACAGCCACTTGGCCAGCAGCAGTTTTTGAGTGAGCTGTACCACAGCTGACAAAGGTGTCCCAGAGCAGATGTGAGCAGGGCTGGTGACCCCAGGCGGCTGCCACTTTTGGAGCAGCCTCAGGCCACCCCTCGGCCCTGGGGGTGCAGCAGGCTGGTGGCACGAAGGGTTGAGATCCCCCTCGCTGGCAAAGGCGCAGCCCAGACATGGTGGAGACGCTTGCGCTGCTGGAAAAGCTGATGGTTTCTGTGGGAGGGAGGAATCTTTTTTTCCCCTCCTGAATCCCGATGTGAAACTCGAACTGGCGTGCCGGGCTGTCGGCAGGGAAGAGGCGGGGAATACTTTCCACCGGAGGGGTGGAGAGAAGGGCAGAGGGCCCGGCACAGCCGTGTGGCCCTGGCTGGCACACACATGTTGCTGTGGGAAGGATACAGGACTCCCTCTGGACCCAGACAGCAGCCACCAGAAGAAAAGCTGCTGGACACGCTGCCCAGGTGCTCCTGTGGCTGCCGCTGTGAGGAAGAAAGCCTCCCATGCACAGATCACATGTCAAGTGATTTATGTACCTGGGGTTTTGGAGCTCAGGCAAGGGGGAAAATGTGCTGAGCATTGTCATCCTGAAATAAGATGGTGCTGTGGGAGGAGCTGGTGAGAGGATGAATGGAATTAATGCTGTGGAATGGGGCATCCCCATGGCTGAGCAAATAATCTAAACCTCAGGGCTGTTAAACCTGAGCCAACAGCTTGACGTCAGGCAGATACAGGTTTGGTTTTTTTCATGCCAACCTGGCTTTGGGATGTGGCAGCCTACTCCAATCACTCCTAAACAAAAGTTTGTCTTTCTTAAGCCTTGGCACAAGCCTGAGGCAATGAGGAGGACCAAGCCACAGACATTGGTGAGCTGTCATTCATAAGAAGAAATTCTAGCTTTCAGAGCACTGTGAGCAGCATTTTGAGCATGCTGCTGCTTTATTCTGCTGTTTTATTCCATCTGCACCAAAATCATGGGCTTGGTGATCTCAGCCAAAGACTTTCATTTTACCCACAGTATTTTTCAAAGGGGCTGATGGCCTGGGGATGTCTGCCCTAAGCAAAGGTTTGCCTTGTGGGACACAGGAACACTGTTCCACATAGACCACTCAGCATCCTCCCAGTTAGTTTTGCTTGGTTCTGGAGGTGAACCACACGTTTGCTGCTGGGATTTTGGCACAAAGGACAAGGGCAGAGGGCACTGTCCCTCTTCAGACGTGGGCATGGCTAGTGGGAAGTGTAGAACAGGGACAGATAAGGTCATTCCTGTGTTGTTTTGCTGGGACATCTCACCCAACTTGGTGGGTTGTTTGAGGAGGGCCTGGACACTTTTCAGGCTGAGCCAGGGTTGATTTGGGAGCTGCAAGAGGAATTCCGTGGTGGTTTATTATTGCTGCAGGAAGTATTACTTTGTGGATGATGGTTTTATGCATGCCAGAGTGCAGAACTTTTCCACCACTGTGCTCTGGCACAGAGGGATGCTTCTCTGAAGTATGGATAATACGAAGGTCTTTGCGCACTCTCTGCACCTTGCATCTTCCTTCTCCCATTTCCCTATCCTGGCTGCACCCTGTGGACCTGGGGTGGTGGTCAGCACCTGGCCAAGGTTGTATCCCTTCCTGTGCTTCATCTTGTAGGGGAGGCTTTTGCTAGGAAGTCCACCTGAAGCAGACTTCTGCTGGGCAAAATTCACAGCCCTGTGTGAAAACACCCCGTTTAGCATCTGGTGAGGCAGAGCCCTCATGGTGCCTAGAGGGGATGGAAAAGCACAGGAGATGCATAGGAGCAGCTTTGGCTGACCCACAAAGGGAGCAGCAGCTAATGCTGAAGGATGTGACACAGTAATGTCCCTCTTGCCTTGAATTCTGGCTCCCAGAACATGTGCACAGTTTCATGGGCATATCTTGAAAGCCATGCTTAGCTCAGGTGAGAGCTTAGGTTTCCTGAACAGTGGGGTATGGGCCCCTCAGGACAAGGGATGGCACGAGGAGGCTGCCAGGGTGGCAGCAGCAAGGTCATGAGCACCTGTGAGAAATTACTTCCCATGTTATTGCCAGACTGGTTGTGGTTCCTTGATGAACTGAAAAAATACTGGGTGTTGATGATGGAGTGATAATTAAATCAGGATCAATTCAGCCACAAAGAGGCTTGCTCCATTATTTCCTATGCTGCACTACTCCTTAGGGATCAGCCATCCTGGATCAGCCTGATTTCTGGGGTAAGGGCTGTCTGTGTGTCTAAGGCACCTCATGTGGTAGCCCTGCTCATACACCCTCACTCTCTGCAGAACGTACTTGGAGGAGGAGCTGATAAAGGCCCGGAAGAAGCCGAGCCTGAGGAAGGACATGTACCAGAAGATGATTGAGGTGGACCCCGATGCCCCCACTGAGGAGGAGAACGTGCTGCGGGCAGTGACCAAGCCCCGCTACATGCAGTGGAGGGAGACCATCAGCTCCACCGCCACACTGGGCTTCAGGATCGAGGGGATAAAGGTGAGTCTGGCCAGCTGTGCTGAGCAGGGGATCAGCTGCTGGGAGTGCTCACTAGCCAAACTCACAGAGGTACACAAGCAGCAGGCTGGTGGTGAGAGTGGGTCACATCTGCACATCCCCAGCCCCTGCGGCCAAACCACCACACAGGCACTTCACCCAGGGCACTGCTGCTCTTCTGAGAATGCAGCTGAGCTCAGGGCATCCATGCAAAAGGACAGTTCTAGACATAATCTCATTACATCAGCTGCCTGGTTGATTTCTCCCTCCCTGCAAAATACAAAGTGCCATCCTCCAACCTGAATACTCAAATTAGTTGTTTGCTTTCAGTTCTGCTCTGCCACTGGGCTGAGCCACTAATCCAAATCCCAGCTTGAACGTGTGCCGATCTGCGGTCGGAGCTGTGAGCTTAGCCAGTAAGGAGGTTGTGTTTACAAGCCTGTCCAGGAAGATTCAGCAACTGAGCCCTATGAAATGGGATAATGGGACACACAGGTGCACTTTCTGTCAGCACCAGCATGCACATGTAACCTGCTGACTGCTCTTGCTCAGAGCAGTGCTCATATTTCTGGAGACACCAGCTGGGATGCTTCTGTGTCCCCAGTAGATGAGCCAGCCCAGAAGGTTTTCTCCAAGGAGGCTTTGCAGCAAGAAAGGTGTCTGGGATGGCCCTTGAACAGAGCTAGGTCTGGCTTGCATGAACATTAGCAATGGCCTATGCCTTTTGATAGCAGCCAGTGTGAATTAAAGGTAATATCACACTTGAGCCAAGGGTTTCATTGCATGCCTGGGCATGGTGTTGGCTTGACAGCCACGGGGAGCTCTGTCGTGTTTTTAGTAATTCAGGCTTGGGTTCCTGCTGAGGGCTCAGACAGTAGCTCAGAGCAGTCACCTGCTCTTAGTGGAAACAATGGCTCAGTATCTGTATCTGGGTCTCTGTAGCCTAATGTCCTGCCTAAAGATAGAGGTGTCAAAATGATTGAATTAAAAAAAAATTAAGCTGTTCCCTGATAAAGGCCTCACACAGATTTTGTAGATTTCCCTGGCAGTGTTTCCCTTCACCTCACCAGCAAACAAATGCAGGAGTTCTTGCTCTGTGCATGTTGCACCTTCTTCATTCAGCAGGACACAGTGCATTTACCTCTAACTTAAATGCTCTCAGAAGCCTCAGGAGCAGCTCTTGGGCTGAGCCCTTTCAAAAGTTTCCTAGCAAGCAATGCAAGGTGCCCCTGCCCATCCCGTGTCTTTGCCTAGGATGCTGATGGTCGTGCTCCCAACAACAGCTATCTGCAGTGCCTACATTGGGTCAGGGCACTTCCCTGAGATCTCCAGGTCTCCCAAAGATCTTCCTTTCCTGCTGTAGATGCCCATAAGCACACTGTGAGCTGCTCCAGCTCTGGACAAGCCCATGCCTAGATCCCACTGCTGATGTTCTGCTTTGTATAAAACGAATCTGTGTAAAAAGGGGGAACAGTTGGGACTAAAGCTCCCATGCACTGCTTCTTCTTCCTGCTTTCTTGATGTGATCAGAAATATCTGTCTATTTATAGTCCATCATGATATATCCTTGGTCTCCAGTGGTGCTTCTCAGTCTGGGCATGTTTAAGGGGCAGGTCATATGTGAAGCGCTTGAAATTAAAAATGTAAAAAAAAAACAAAAACCAAAGAAATCATATCCCTAGGGAGGCAAAAAACACCATGGAGGGAAATAAAAGCCATAAAGGAGTTATGAGATTTGCACCTCTGTGTAGCCAACCATAAACAAGTAGCTGCCTGATCTGAGCAGTGGATTTTTTTTCAAAGAGGTGAAGCAGCCCTTTAATTGAAAAATGTTGAGAAGTGCTGGCCTCCAGCAGTATTCCTGCTGTTGCTGCTGCTAGGGGGCTGACTAATTTGATCAAGGCTCTAATTACTGTTATTCTCCTTAAATCCCTCAGCTTCTGTGTTATTTTCCCCTAAGCTAAAGCATTAGCAGCTCATGCTGTTTCACAGCTGGCATTTTTTCCAACAGGGCTGGTCATGCTGTGCTGTATCCCTGTTGTTCTCCCTGTTTCTGGGATTGAGTTCCTGTGTTAGGGAAAGTGCCTTCGGTGCCCTGGCTGTCTTCCCATGTTTTATTTCTTGCTGTGGATGCTCCCTGTGAAGAGCAGCAGTGAATCTGCCCTGCCCCTCGCCCATGGATGGGGGCTGCTAGAGGAGAGTACTGAGAAGTGCGAGGGAAGGACAGGATTTGACCCTGGGTGTATGGAAAGGAGTCATAGGAAGGAGAGGAGCAGTGGAAGACTTTTGGATAGCACAGCCTGGGAGCTCAGGGTTGGCCATGAGGATAACAGCCCTTTCCTGACTGAGCTCTCCGTTTCCCAGGTGGCCTTGAGGATCCAGTTCTTCCTTTTTAAAATGGAAATTTTCCTGCACAAAAGGAGATAATGACATTCATCTGACTTTCTGGAATAGCTTGAACCTGTTGGAAACAGTAGCTATTAATAAAATTTCCATGCTGAAAGTAACACAAGTGATCCCTGGTGGCCCAGTTGAAACTTTCTGGGGCTCATTGTAAGAAGTGACACCCCTGAGCTGCTGCTCTGGTCCAAGTGTTACTCACCATTGCCTGCAGCAAGGCCGTGGGATGGCATTCCCCAGGGTTGGAATGTTTGCAGGGTCCCAAAATCAGGCCGGAAAGCCTCCACCTAACTTTGCCAAGCCAGGCAGCTCACAAGCCCCATCCAAGGCCAGAGGCAGTGCTGGAGGGAGATCTGGCTGACCCGAGCCCTGCCCCAGCGCAAGCTGGAATCGCTGGCGGGGCGGAGGCTGTGATAGACCTTATCAGCCCCCCTCACATTTCTGCTTTGTGGAAGGCAGCCCCCTCGGGGCTCGGACACCTGTGAATGTCATGGCAGTTGTCAGCCTCATGGCAGCAACCTCTGTCTGGGCAAGGAAACTGCAGGAGGCGGGTAATGCTGGGAGCAGCACTATGGATAGGCTGCTTGGCTTTCCTGAAGCTGAGACTGCCATATCTGAAAGGCCATCTGTGAATTTCGTTTATTTTTAGGAGTGCTTAGAAGTCCATGTCCTTTCTTGGATGCTTTGTGGAAGGTTGTGCTCTTTACATGTGAAATTAGTGCTGTGGCCCTTCTCCAGATTGATATCGATCGTCCCCCTGGGAGAGGGTGGGTTCATTTCTGAGCTGCCACGTCAGGGCTCAGATGAGGGGCATATGGCAGCAAAGTGCTCTTCCTCTATACATCACACATGTGCCCCCAGAGCATCCTCAGCAAGGTCACAGCTGAAAGCAGAGATCCCAGCTCTGCACGGTCTATCAGCAGCAAAGAGTCTCCAGTGAAAAGGTTGTCCCTGTCCTCTGCCAATACACACTCTGCCAGCCCTGAGCATTGCTTTTGCACCCTGTGGCACAATGGTCAGGCTGAGTCCAGGGTGATTTGAAGCTGGGTGCAGTCATTGCAATTGACACAAAGTTTTTCCTGGAGTCTTTCTTTTGTACATTGCTTTTGTTACCACCTTTGTTAATGCTTACACAAAACACAAGCTGGAAGCTGAAATGTGCTGTGTGATTCATCCCAAACTGCATTTCAGATGTTGGTTTGGTGGCAGGCTCACCTTGGGCACTCAGTCTTCCCCCAAACTGCACTGGCCACCATGCCCACAGCAGGCCCCCTCTCCAGGAGGATGCACATTGCCCTGTGCTGGGGCACTTCCCTGATGGGTCTCTAACCTCCAGGGCATTGTTCCTTCTTTCCCCTGCAGCATCTGCTCTGCCCCTTCATCCTTCATCTTCCCCAGCCCACAGGATGTCTTTTGGCCCCTGTCCTTTTGCTCTATTGTGTGCAAACGAGTTGTCTGGAGCAGTGGGATGGAGCCCTGCAATGGAGCTGTGGGCACAAAGCAAGCGTGGTTTAAAATAGTCCCTGTATCCAGGAAGTGAGATCTGCCTGCCTGTCTTACAGTCCCTCTGGACAGTGAAACGAGTTGATGTAAAAATCAGAGCCCCAGAAGGTCCAGGGAAATGGGGAGAGATCTACAAAGCTTTCCAGAAATTCAGACAGGAGCCTCTGGGCCAGGGCTGAGTGTCATCGCTGCAGTGGACAAGACATGCCATTCCCATGGCAGGCCAAGGATGGGGGAAATGAGGAGGAGAGCACAAGGCTGCATCTCAGTGCCAGGCTGCTACCTTGAAGGGCTTGTGATCCATGGTCTATCAAAGGACCAGTGAGGCCAGACAGCCATGGGGCTTGCTCCTTGCTGCAATGGTCCATAGAGGATTTCTCATGGAGCGGTTTTGTTCCTGCTCCTGAGATGGTGTTTCCATCCATACTCAGTTTTTTCCCATCATGATCATGCTCTGCTGTCCCCAAGCCAAGGAGACAGTCCAGGGCTGGTCTCAGTGCCATTCTCAGCCACAGCAGCCATAGGAAGCCATTTGGGCACAGAAACACCAGAAACTGGTAGTCTCCAGCCCCTGGTAGCAGCAAGCACCAGGTCTGTGAGGAGAGTTTGTCCACATTGCCAGTGACCTTGGCAAGTATTTGATGATGGGGAGTTCCATTTGCAGTAGAGAACAATGGATCGGGGCTGTAGGATAACTTGGGATGTGCAAGCAGAGACCTGCTGCCTCTGCTCACCCCTGCTCCACAAACAGATCCTTCAGCTGCCAAAAATGCTAGTCACATCCTACTTGGCAACACACATGGCTGCAGAAACACTACTCCTGCCCCAACTCCCTTCCTCCCCATCCAACTCACTCCTGTCCCTTCTTTTCAAGAAAGAGGACGGCACTGTGAACCGGGACTTCAAGAAGACACGGACAAAGGAACAGGTCATGGAGGCCTTCAGCGAGTTCACCAGAGGAAACAGGAACGTTTTGGTGAGTGGGGGATGTTTGGGACACTGCCTGGAGAGGGCATTTCCTGGGGAGCCTGGCCTCACCTCATCAGGTCCCTGGCCTGCAGGGCTGAAGCCTGAGCAATCTCTTAAAAAGCATGAGAAATGATGAAGAGAAACACCGTCCTGGTGCAGGGTGAGGGGAAAGCAGTGGAGAGCTGGGAGGGGACTTGGCTGCAGCAGCACTGCTTGACATGACTCTGAGTCTGCTGAGGATCTCCAGGATTAGGTCCCAAAACCCACTGAGGAGTCGCAGCCATGCTCTCTGTCTCTCCGCCCTGGGCTGGTGGTCACCCTGAGCCCTCTCTGTACCCCAGTATGAGTGATGGGGGCTCCCATCCTGGCAGGGCAGACTGCCTGTGCCCAGTCTCACAGAAGGGTGAAGTGTGCCAGGCACACTTCACATGGGCAAGCCACACCCAGCATTTCCCAAGCTTCCCTAAGTTGTCAGGAGAATAAGAGATCTGGCTGTAAACAATTTACACCAACTGTGTCAAATAACCTATTTGACAAAGCACTCCCATTATAAGCTGCACTGTATAAAGTCTCCAAATGCAAGACTCCAGCTGGAGTTGCCCTTGGCACTGTCTCCTTCAAACTGGCATGCTTGCTTTCACGAGAGTTACCCAGGGATTATTCCTGGATCTGAAGATGAACTTGCCTGGGTGCATTTTACCCCCTAAGAACTTGGAGCACACATGGTGCCACAGCTCTGGATGGGGCTCCTTGGTCAGTGCATTTTTATACAGCAATCCCCACCTCTCCCCTTGCAAGTGTGTACAGTGCCCAGATACTTGCTCTGTGTGTGTTCCTGTGCTTAATTCTTCTATATAAACCCCAAAATCAGTGGAGCCCTCTGGGAATCTTCAGTGCCTTCCAGCAATTAGCAGGGCTCCTTGAACAGGCTTGTGGGTCTTGACCTGTGTGCTGGCTATTGTGAAAGCTCTTCCCTCTACAGGACCAGCTTTGCAGAAGTGCTGGTAACAGAGTTGCAGAAGTGTCTTGTGATGTGTGACTGAGTGCTAAAAAGACAGATGAAGTGAAGAGTTGATCTATTAAGAGACTGCAGGGGAGAGGAAAAAGTAGCAGCTGCTGAATTAGGTGTTCCCAGAATGGATGCAGCAGGGAGACTCTGCAGAAAGCACCAGTTCAGCAAAAGCAAATGTTTCCACTGAGTTTTGAAAGCCACAGGAGCTCACAGCGTGCTATAGAAGCCAAAAGGTTAAGTGGATCATAAAAAGGATCCAGGGGACACTCTCCAAAGGGAAAGGTCTGTGGGAGGACACTGGGTGCAGGGGTGACTTTCCTGTCTGCCCCAATGCAATGGTTTTTATGTAGGTTTCCTGCAGCTTGGATATGTGTTTTATTTTGTAATTCCAGAACAGTTACCTTAACCGGTTGAAGGGTATCCGCGCTACCCTGGAGACATCCCCATTCTTCAAGTGCCATGAGGTAATACTGCTGTTTAGACAGATCTGCCTGGAGAGACAAACTGTTTAATCTCAGCTTGTCCAGGGAGAGAAGTCAAAGCCAGGGGCTGTTTTATTCTTATATCTGTATTTTCATATGTGTATTCAATACTTAATGTGCAAATATAGATGATAACATACAATGTTTATGCATCTGACATGTGCTCAAATCTACTGGAAGCCAATGTTCAAACAGATTAAAAATGACCTAGAAGGAACTCAGGCTGTTCATGACATGGAAAATTCCCTAGTGTAAAAGCACAGGGGTTTTCTCAGGAGAAATGTCTGTTTGAATGTATGTCAGGTATCATTTGGCTGACAGTTGCTCCACATGATCAAACCAAGGCTTCAACATAGCCATAAACTGCAGATACCCCAAACATGCCTTTCCTGAGCTGGTTGGGGTACCCCAGTACAAACTCTTCCGTTTGAAGGAATTTCATACAGAAACATGTGTCCACAATACCAACATTTTCTATAGTGAAGATTTAGCACTGATAGGAAAACAAGGAGGGAACGCTATCTTTTTTGGCCATTTCAAGAACTGAAATGCTCCACAATTTAATGCAATAATTTTGCTATTGCATCTACTTAACAAAACATGAGAGTGCATATCCTTGTCATGTGTGGTGTAGGAAAAAAAAGAGCCTGATAGGAACCTTTGACTCCCAGGGTTCAGGAGCCACAGCTCCAAGAGTCCACTGTCCCTCATCCAGAGCCACATGAGCCACCTCAGCCCCAGCCACACACGGAAGGTCCTGCCAGGAGCCAAAGGCAGATGGGGCCATGCCTCCTGGTGGCAGCGCCTGGAAGGCAGTTGGAAGGGAAATGTCAAAACTCAGGGTTTCAGGGCAGTTCAACACAGGAAACAAAATTCTCCCTGAAACCAAGTGCCAGGGTTTCATTTGAAAACACAGAAACAAAGCAGCCTTTCAAAGACGGTTTGAAAGGAGTTTCCACTTCTTAAAAATTAAAAAGCAGCAGCTTTAACTTTCTATCCTGCATTGAAATGAAGCGCAGCAGAAGGTCTGCCAAGCTCTGTGTCCCTCCATGGGGCCCTTGCTGAGCAGGGCTCCTCCAAGGAGCTGCAGGGGAATTGGGCAGTCCAGGACACACAAATGAAGAATGTCAGCAAAAGGTTTTTCCTTAAAATTAGAATGCTCTGTCCTGGTCAAGAGAGGACCATAAAAGGTTAGCAGAAGGAGAGCTGAAGATAAGCATTTCTCAGAAATAATACGCATCTCTGGACCTTGGACGTTTTCCCAACACACTGAAGGAAAAAATCTCCTGAAAAATGTAAATTCTTAACAGCTTTTGCAAACATGCATCCTGTTCAAAACCCCTGTCTAAAGGCAAATCTCAGGCTAAGCCCTGCTGATAGCACAGATGTGGGCGTCCCCACTAACATTTAGTGCTGCTGTTTTGGAGGGCTGACACCAGCTGGATTCTCTTCCATGTACCTACACATGCTAAAGGGCACTCCTGGCTCTCAGTGCTCTGCATTACCTCTGCTACAGCCCTTGCACTCTGGTCACCAAGGTGCCTATTTGTGACACAGGGGCAAGAGAGTTCATAATTCACCAATTCATGCACATCAGAGAGAATTTGGAAAGCAGTTTTCTTTTGGGACAGCTCTGAAACACACCCATTGGTGCTTTTCTGTAGAAGCTCCTGCTAAAATCTGACTGGAGGAGGAGATTAAGCAAAAGAGCACAATGATGACTGGCTTGATACTGCTACACATTTCCTAAGCACTGAGAAGCCACAGCAGAGCTGCTGTTGGTTGTCAGGCTGACTGAGACTGTGAGCCAGGATGGGTCAGGATGCTGAGCTGCTGAGCATCTCTCTGCTTTGTGTGTGGTGACCATTGGGCTTGTGGGGGTCTCATCCCACTGCAGCAGGCCTTGAGACTTCTGTCAGAGCCCAAATGCACCTGTTGGCTTCCCCAGGCTTGCCCAGGCTACTACTTTCTGCAGGATTTTCCCAAATGCCGATCATACCCCAAAGGATGTGAAAGAGCCCTTCAAAGCAGATGCAGTCAAGTGAACTCAGGGAAAAGGAATTTCATGAGCATGCAGCTCTGTACCTTGCACCCCCAGAGTGCTTGCATGCCAGGAGGATATTCTAGAGGCAATCTGTGTGTAACGGGATAGTGTTTGAAGTAGGAGACAGCAGGTTACTTGTACTTGGAGTGTCCCCATCCCTGTGGTGGTGTCTGCAGGATTGGGGAGTGTGAAGAGCACAGGAAGATCACAAAGAACCAGCCTTGAAAAAAATCCCCATCTGAAGGCTGAAACAGTTCATCTCATTCGTTGCTAAGGGACCTTGGCTCATTTTCCAATATGACATCTTTATCTTTCATGCCTGTGTTTTTCTGATTCTCTCCTTGTGTCAAGACCTGGGATTTGTATGAGTAAATCAGCTTGTCCAAATGCCCCATTTGCATGTGCAAACACAACCAGCGGTACCCAGAGCTTGCTTTTCCTCATGCAAAATTGCTGCAGCATCTCCTGGAAATGCAGCCTGAGATAAGGTGTCTAAAAGCCCCAAAGAGGGCTGAAAATGAGCAACAGGAGCACCACTAATAGGTCTCACCTCTCCACAGGTAATTGGGAGCTCTCTCCTCTTCATTCACGACAAGCAGGAGCAAGCCAAAGTCTGGATGATTGACTTTGGGAAAACTACCCCACTGCCAGAGGGACAAGTTCTCCAGCACAACGTGCCCTGGGTGGAAGGGAACAGAGAGGATGGCTACCTCTGGGGGCTGGACAACCTCATTCAGATCCTGACAGAGTTGTCTCAGAGCGAAGACTTGCATTAAAGCCGCGCATCCGATTCTGCCACTACCCCCAACCTGTCCCCGACTGACTCTTCTGAACTGCACTACAAGACACTTTCCAGCCCTCGCCCTCCCCATTTGAAAGCTATACTCTCCCTATTTAATGTGTTTTTGTTGTGAGGGTTTTTTAGGTTGTCTTGGTTGTTCCCCCCCACCTCCCCTTGTAAATAGAGAGCTAACCTGCCAGAACAAAGCTGAACTTGAAACCTTGGCTTTGCAGAGTCAGTGGGAGCTGGCAGCCCGGAGGGGTTGCTTAGGCATGTGCATGCTTCGCCTGTCGTGCTTTTGTCTCTCGCTCAGCCTGATGTTAAGAGGGCTGGTGGAGGAAGGAGCCTCTTCCTGCATCAGGGTTGTGATGAAAACACTCAGTGACTGTGCCCTGGACCCTCTGGCAGTCAGAGAGTGTGAGCGAGGTGTGGAGATGGTGAAGGACACTGCAGTGGGAGCCCCTTACTGTCTCTGCCAGCGCCTTTCAGCCCAGACAGCTGGCTGTGCCAAGTCCTTCAGAGCTGCTAGAAAGGCAGATTTGGGGTTTAATTTGTGTTCAAGACATCTTGTAGAGGTTGCTCAGTAATTTTTGAGTGGCACTGGGGGGCAAGAGTTTCCCTCCTGCTGCAGAGCCATGTAGTCAGGCACAGGTATTTGCCATGGCCAAGTGCTTCCCACCCATGTCCCCCATGCTTGGGTGCCCTGGTGAGCAAAACTTTGGGCTCCTCTCTAGAGCCCCAGCTCCTCTGCTATGAACTGCTTCCAGTCTACCTTAGCTGGGGTCTCCAGTCCTCCCTAGCTGGGAAAAAATAGCTTATAAAGGACTACTGTGAAGCCTGAAGTAGCCATCCAGGTTGATCGGTCTTTTTTGTCAGCGGCTGAGCACACGTATAGTGCCACCAATGCTCACACCTAGCCCAGGATGACCCTCCCGCCTGGAGCATCTCCATAACTTCCATCTGCATGAGGTGAAGGGTTACAGTAGCAAGGCAGCTCCCAGCTTAGACACCTTTGGCAAACAGAGCTGGGGTCAGGCATCCCTTTGCCTTCCCCTTTTTCCACAGAGCTGCCTGTGGCTGTGCTGCTGCCCAGCCTGCGGGGGCCGTGTGACGGCCCCTGTGCTCCCGCTCCTGCCAAAACACCCAGTTCCCTGTTTAGGGCGGAGGCTGTTTTTTAACTTCCTGGAACATTTGAACGGAGCGGCGGCAGGGCTGGTGCGCTAAAGGTCATCCGTGGAGAGGCTGCCGGGGAGGGGAGGCTGCGGCAGGCCGGGAGCCCTCACGTCGAGGAACGTGCAGCGCAGGAGATGCTGCAGGAGCTTGGCAGCCATGCATCCCTCACCTGCTCCATCCATCCCCAAACCCACTGTCCAAGCCATCTGCAGCCAAGTCTCTTTCCCAAGGACTGAAGTTTCCTAAGGTTTCACTCAGTTCATATCTCATCAGACAGGTGTCTTTTGCTCATCAGATGCCATTGTAAACGGTTGCACTGTTTTAGCTCCTTGCCAGGCTTTCTAGAATAGCCCATGTAGAAGTGCCTTATAGACTTTGCCTCTGTTCCATTAGTGTCATGGAAAAGGTTGGGGTTTTTTTTAAGTTATATTTATTTTCATCCCATTTTAATTGCACAAAACACTAAAATTTAATGCATGGAATCTTTTTTTTTTTTAAACTGTGTTTTTAGTTTTTAAGCCATGCCTTTTCCATCTTTGGAGAAAGGGTGTGAACAGATATGCGTAGCTATGTACCACTTACCGCTGTACTTTAGCTTTGAGCTGCTCTTATATATGTACGTTATTTTTTAAGCCTGTTTATAAACCAGATTCCTTGCTTTGTGGCTTCAGAAGAAGCAGATTGTTGCTCTCAGATGTCTTTTGCTTTCCTGGAAGCTGGAACGGTTGCTGTGAGGGATTTTCCCTGCTCCCACCACACCTCTCGGTCATTGGGTAATACAGAAAAAACATCCAAACCGGTCTGGAACACCAACGCACAGTGCCTGTAAAAAAGTCCTGTAACATTGCAAATAAAGGCATATGGGAAGCATTCCCCTGGTGTGCTGTCAGTGTCTGCCCTGTGCAGCTTGTGGCAGCCTTGGAACAGCTTCTCACTTCCATGACTGGGGGGGAATCAGGCTCCAGCAGTGCTGCATAAAAGCAAGAGTAGGGAAGGGCCCTGCGCTGGGAGCAGATCCCAACAAACAGGAAGTGGCTCTGCAGGGAGCAGGGCAGGGGGAGAGCAGGACTGGGGCTGTGAGAGGCCCAGGCTCAGTGGGAGCTACCCTTCAGAGAGGTCTGAATTCCTCCATCCCCCTTCTGCAGGGAAGGCCACTGAAGGCAGCTCCAATTTTTTTGGAATGTTTTTGGCTCCCACTGAGCGGTTTCTGAGTGCCACCCTGTGATCTCTGCACTGGAGAATACCAAAGCACCCAGGAGAATCAGAGCTGTTTGGCACAGCCAAACACTCCCCCTGCTCCTCTCCCTCTCAGCTGCACTATGGGCAGGGCCAGAGGGAGTGCTTTGGAGAAAAGGCCACAAAAACCCCCAGACTGCTTCTGCAATGAAGGATTCTGCAAATCAGGTTGTGAAGCTGCCTGGAGGCAGCTCCATTCCCTCCTGGTTGGTTGTGCAAGCACAGGACAGCAGGAGCTGTTTTGGCACAGAGGTGGTGGGCTGCCCCATAGGAAAGCCACATTTAGTGCCCAGACCCTCAAGGAGCAGCCCGGCCTGGGGACCAGACCTGGCTCACCATGGCTCCTCTAAAACAAACTGCAGGAAAAAACCTGCAGCGTGGAATTTGAAGACCAGAAGCCTCTTGGTCGGAGGCAGAGCTGTCAGGACACTAGATGTGGGGCTGCTGCCTTGTGCACCAGCAGTCTCTCCTGGGCTGTGGGAAAGCAAACACATTTCCTGACTGACTTCTGAGCTCACTCCAGCAGAACTGACAGCCCCTGTTTTACTTAAAGGTTCAGTTTTTGGGGTCTCTCTGGTATGTGACTCTTCTTCCTACCTTCAGAGGAAAACAAAAGCCTCCAAAACTTATCCAGCTGCACCCTGAAATGCAAAAACAGAGGGTGAAGAACTATGTTCTGTGAAAACCTCTCTTGAGAGCTGAGGAAACACCATGACATTGTGGTGGACAGTGTGCAGAAAAATTCACAGTGCCAGAGGTTTTTGTCCAGAAAGGAGAGAGAGGAGTCCTGTAACTTTATTTGACTAAAGGGAAAGGTCATGGGGCATTTCCCCTGGGGTCTTTCAAATTATTGGAGGATGCAGCCTCCTTTTTATACTTATTTCCTGGCCACAACTCCCTCTTCCTTTCCCATTGGCTGAAGTAGTTGGAAGGTACAGACTTCCCAATAGGCCTACTGTAAGTCTCTAATATGCACATCATATATATAATTTTATATATAACAAAACAATATTCATAATTCTATTCAGGCTTTGTTCTTCTCTTAGTTCAGGAATTTAACGCAGCCTTGGCTGAACAGCAGTCTGTGTCAATTGCTAACATTTTCTAGAACTGATAGTTTCTCCCATTACTTCCCTATCTGTAAGTCCCTGGCCCTATCTACAAGCAGATTTACATGGTCTGTAAAGACACATTCATTCTATTCTTTTCAAGAGGAAAAGGGAGTAAGTCAGGAGAAGAAAACCCTTCTGACTGAGTGCTGGCATCTGCTGACCCTAAGGTTTATGCAGAGGGTTGGAAGGGGCAGGTCCCCATTGGCACACGCCACAGCAAGAGCCTGGCTTGGCCCCCCCAACCTGGCTTTACCCCAGAGCAAAGCCCAGAGCTCCCTGCCATCTTATGCACTAATAAACTAAATTATTCATAAACTCAATATAGAGAAGAGAGGCCAGGACTTGTATTAATGCAGCCAAGAAAACTTTACACCTTGCTGAAGTCTCTACTGTCACAGGGCAGAGCCTCCCAGCACCTCCAGCAGTGCCAGGAGATGTACGTGTAAGGGGGTGTAAGGCAGTCTGCCCAGGCTGTAGGTAGGGAGGGCAGCTCCCTTCTTTCAGCATTGTCTGATTAGGCACTATTTGACAGAATGAGGCCCCCATAAATCAGGGGGTGCTGGGGGCCAGCTGGGCATTCCAGCCTGTGAAAATGCAGGGTGTGGTGGTTGACAGGGGTCAGTGTGCTCAGCTTTGTTTCCCAACACAAGCTGGTGGGGTTTTGGGGATCTCTGGGAAGCGCCTTGGGAGGGATTTTTCCCCTGCCACGGATGATGCAGAGCTGCCCCCAGCCTGAAACCTGGCAACAGCCCCAGGGTCCCCATGTCCTCCTGCCCAGTGTGGCTGGGGGAAGCACGAGTGAGGAGGTTGCCACGGTGGAAAAGCTGCTGCCCGTGTGCTGCTGCAGGGGATGCATGGCTGGGGGAGCACGGGGACACCATGGCAGCGGTGACAGTGTGGCCAAGCAGCATTTGAGTGTGGAGGGTGCTTATCAGCCTGGGGATGCCTTTCCCCTCAGCCACTTGGTCGTGGGTGTGCCGGACACCTCCAGAGTCCTGCTGGCTTGGAGATGTTTTAGGGGAGATGCTGCAGGGGCACCCTCCAGGCTTCAGTGGCACGAGCTCGCGTTTGGGCTCAGCCCCACAAGGGCTGTGCTCCCCTTTCTGTGCTCCCCTTTCTGTGCTCCTCTTTCTGTGCTCTCCTTTCTGCTCCCCTTTCCTCGTACCTTAAGAACCAGACCCGACTGCCGGCCGACCACGCCGTGTCCCGCGTGGGGTGGATGCGGGCTCCCGGCGCTTCCCCCGAGGGCCGGGAGATGGCGATGTGCCCCCGGGAGAAGCCCTAAAATTAATAAACGCCCTCTCTAGCTCCATCCCGGAGCCAGCCTGAGCAGGGCAGGGGGTGAAGGATTCATGCTGCCCACATCTCCTTTCTGGGTGGTTCTGGGGGTGAGAGGCTGGGGGCAACACGTCTCTCCTCCCTGTGCCATTCCAGGGTTGGAGCCCCCCCGGCAGCCCCATCCCCTGTCTCCTGGGGTACAGCTTTCCCACTCACACTTTCATTTGAGCCTTTGTTTCGCTTACTCCCTGCCCTTAAAAAAAACACAAATTTGTTCTTTGTTATTGTGAAGTGTAAAAAATGAAAATTTAGAAACCCTTGGGAAATGGGAGAAGTGGGCAGGGTCCTGCTGTAGTGTCAGCTGGTTTGGTTCATCTTTTGCCACTAGTTTGAAGTCCATGGAAGTGGTCACAGGCTGCTCCTGCAGTCCCAGGGGTCCCAGGGATGACCTGCCATGCACACTTCATCCCGCCAGAGTGGGGGACTGGACACAGCTCTGCCATTCCTGCGCCTCCAGTGCCTGACCCACCACGAGTTATGCCTCCAGCAAAGAAAGTTTTATATGGGGATTTACTGCTCTGGGGGTGCCCCGGGGGCTGCTGTTGCTTTTATACAGTCAGGCGTTCTCTTCCCACCCTTAGGGGACCTGTCTTAGTAGTTCCTGCTAAGGAACTAAGGAACTGTGTTTCCACCCTGGAACAGCCAGAGAGCACAGGAGAGCTGCTGCTGCTGTCACATCGAAGAGAAAGCCCATGGGGGAGGCTGCTGAGTGAATCCCATATGGGACAGCTCTGGAGGAAACTGGAAAATGCTGGGGCCTCAGCAGCTCATCCCACTTCTGGCACTGCTGCACTGCTTTCTTGGGGCTGGTGCTTTCTGTTTGCTGGGGCTTTGTGCCTCCTACCATTTATTTGGTGTGTATTAGCAATGCCAGACCTGGAAGACCTGGGGCTAGCTCCCCCCTCTCCACATTGCCTGGTGCCAGGGTGCTCAAACACACTTTTCCTAATGTAGAAATCTAAGACTTGAAACCACCAGGACAAATGAGCACAAAGAGAAGTAGAAGCGCAAAAGTATTTACTCAAACACCTGGCCAGAGCCAGGAAACAAAATCAAATATTTTAATTTCTAGTGACTGACCTCTGTGTCAGAAGGAGCTTTTGCTCCAAGATGGTTTTCATGCTGCTTTCCGTGGCAGGAACCCCAGGAGTTCTGCAGGGACATACACACACACACAGATCTGCTTTTCTTGCAGCGGTGGGGTTTGGCTGAGACAAGGGAATGGGAGAAGAAAAAGCAGCAGGAGTCTGTAGTAGCAAGATAGAGATGCTACAGATATGTTTCCCCCTTTGAAAAGGATCTGTGGCTAAAAAACATTTCCCACTGGCAGCGTGGTATCTTTTTCTGGTGCTAATTCATGCTTCATCTGTTTTTATGCCTCCAGAACAGTGAGGGGAGATGGCAGGACCCGTGGGTGGGCTCTACGAGGTGCCACATGCTTCCTCCCACCATTCATCAGCCCCAAGCAGGCATTTCAAACGTGCCCTGATGTGACTGCCACGTTCTGCACGTGCCCAGCTGCTTTTCCCATGGGAAATGGCTTTGCAGGAAGGCTCACAGGCCCTGTGGTTTACAGGGGGATCATTAAGGATCACAGAGGATGTCTCCTGAGCACTTGTGTGCCAGCATGGTACAGCCCACAGTGCTGCTGCCCAGGGAGCATCCCCAGGGCAGGTTGGTGCCATCCTGTTCTTTGAACCCATTGTATCCTTTGGCCATGGGTGGGACAGGCAGTGACAGTGGTTGTTTTGGTGGGACAGGCAGTGACAGTGGCTGCTTTGGTGGGCAGAGGTTCCAGCAGGGCAGGTTGAAACACTCTGAGCATGCCAGGGCACTCACACATTGTCTCTACAGGGACAGTGGCTCCTAATCCCTCTGCTGCCCAGGCTGCTCAGCAGCATGTGGGCCTTATGTCTGCTAGCAGAATTCAAGCCTGGAATTTGGCATTCATCTGGCTGGCTTGGAAGCAAGACCTGTCCCTTAAAAACTTGCAACCTCCCTTCACATCTCTGGCAGCACAATGCTTTATGTGCCCTAGACATAAGCATACACTCCTGCCAGTCTTGCAGCTCACATCCTCTTCCACAGGGCTGCAGTTTTCCCATGGAAACAAGCTCTGAAATAGCCTGGAATTGTAATATTATCTCCTAGGATCAGGTGCTACCTTCTCATAGTTGCATGTGGATCTGAATGTGGGTTTGGAATGCATAACTTTGAGATTTAGAGATAGTACATGCACACCTTGAAATAACCCTCCTCGGCATGGATTATTTTTTTAAATGGTTGTTCAGGCTAGTTTGAACAGAATACTTGAAATTATGGTTTTCTAAGTGTGTATTTCTAAATGATCCAATATCCAGGGGGTGTATTTCAATGTCTCTTCATGGCCAGGAGTTAGAACTGCTGGTGGGCACACCCTGGCTCCCTTTTGGGGTGAGCTGCAAGCCAGGACTGACCCCAGCCCTCCTGCACAAGCCACTTTTGTCCCACCATTGTAACAGCGGCCAACAGCCCAAACTCCCCCAGATGGCCTGATGCAAAACACAGCTGGTTACTCCAATTGCTCTGGATCATGCAGGAAGTCACAGCTGCCCCACATCACCCTGGGAGTGATATTGGTGCTGTGGCTGCAGCCCTATGGGGCTCCCAGCAAGAGCTGCTGTAGGATTGGATGTATGCCAGAGGCGTATGGCAGCTGTAAGGAGGTGAGTTGGTTTGGGGAGGCTGCAAGTGGAGAGGGAGGGAATTGGCCCTGTTGGGTGGTGGTTGCTGGAAAGGGAGTTTCCCTGGATCCACCACTGCTGTGCTGCACGGAGCAGGTGCACAGAGGAGTGACAGCAAGGGCTGAGCTGTGCTCTGACAGCACCTGCGCTGGGGGTGAGCCAGTTCACCTCTGAAATCAGGGTGAGATATGTGTGGTGGCTGTGGGCCTCCCCTTGGGCCATGGTATGGAGGAGGTGGGTGCCCAGAAATGTGGCATGGAGGTTTTTCCCTGTTTCTTGTGTGTCTTCACCAAGCTCCAGTTTTGGACTTTGCTTTCGTGTGGTTTATTGCTAATTTTCCTCCTCCCCTTATGAAATGGTTCCATTATCAGGGTGTTAAAGAAATCTCTTTGAGATAATTATCCCAGATCTCTCCAGTGGGTTTGCCACGTGCTGGTGTGTCTGCACGGGTGTATTAATAGTATCATACTACTGTATATCAGCTTTCATCCCAAAGTGCTTCCCCTGCTGAGGGTTGAAGCCTGAATAGAAACATAGAGCAAGTGAAAGGAGCTTCTGCCTCACCTCCCAGACCCCTCAAAGCCATGGGGTGTGAGAAGACCCTTCTTGCTGGTCTTGCACCAGCAACCCTGAGTTTGCCCCCCCTCCCCAATCCAGTTGGGATCTCCCACATGTTTTCCTACCCTCGGTGGCCTTGGGGAGGGAGCAGAGCAGTGGTTTTGTGGCATTATACGTCACAGGAAGAGCATGGAGTGTGGATGGCTGAAATGTGCAAGTGTTTTGACAGGCTGCTGGCCCTTGCAGCAGAGCTGCTTTTCATGGGAAGGCTCTGCCACCTGCTCAGCTCTGCTCAGGTGTCTGTGGCCAAGCTCCTGACAGCACGTGGGCTGTTCTCTCACTGGGAACAGGGATAATGCACCTGGAGTCATATTAAAATGTTAAAATTGCAAACGAAACCCAGTCAAGAAGGATTGCTGGTAGGTGTGTGCACAAGGGAACACACGGTGACTTTTCCCCCTCCCTTGTCTCCATTCCAGATGTCCAGGTAAGGCTCCTCACCAGCCTTCTCTGCTCCTCTGGAAGGTTCTGGTCATGAATTCTTAAAGGAAGCCATGCCCTGACCCCTGCCTCCTTAGGGGATGTGGGTGTGAGCTGGAATCTGCTGGATGCTCTCCATCACCTTGCTGGTGGGAGATGAACGAGAACCCATTTGGAATCAGGGATGATGGGGTTTCTCCAGGTGACATAAAGAGACTCTGCATTTCACTCCAGCTGTCCAGCAATAGAATATATTTAACTTTAAAAAAAAATATCCACAGTATCAAAACACAAGAAGTCACAATCCAATACTCAGTGATATAAACAGGCATACAAATGGTCCTCTGCAACCCCTCAGTTTGGGCTTCAGTACGAAAATGAAAGGTGGGCTCACCAGCAAGGTGCAAATGGCACAGGTGGGCAGGCCCCTGCTCCCTCCTTTCTAGGGTGGAAAGTCTGATGTACCCATGCATGGCCAAAACCAAGGAGAACACAGATTTGAGCCAGCCATTCCCTCCCAGCCTTGGGAACAGTGCCTGTGTCAGTGTGTGGTGGGTGAAGGAGGGGTGTGGGTCAGGGTAGGATTGTTTGCTGGGTGTCTGGGCGAGCACTGCCATTAGCTCCAGGCAATGCTGGTAGAGGTGAGCCCCTGTTTTGATCCTGGGCCAAAATGTGCCATTCCTTTTCACCTGCCTGTTGAAAGCATTCTCAGAGCTGGGAAATGGATTGAGCTACTCTGGCCTTTGCCATTCTTAGAGCCTGAACAAAACCTTCACTTCCCACTGCACCATTCCAGCAGTGGGGACAGGGCATTGTTGCTTCCCTCTGGCCAGATGGGTGGGTGCAAGAGAAGCAGGACTTGACTTTTAGCCTGGCTTTGTTATTTATATAGATGACACGAGGAGGAAGGATGGGTTGTGGGTAGCATAAACTCTGGTGGGATACACTGTAATTAACCCTGGTTCAGATGGTGCCACTGTGACCTGGGGTTTTGCACCATGCTGCTCCCACAGGGGGATGTGAATGCTGAGTGCCAGTTTGGGAAATAAATTGCAGCACTGCTTCCAAGTTCATTGTGTGTGTGAGCGTGAAACAAAGTCAGCTGGAAAATACAGGGCTGTGTTTCCACACCATGGTTAGCAAGCATGTGGGAGAAGACCTTGCTTTTTCCTGGAGGAATGTCAGATCTAGCCAGGGTCTCCCTGTACCTGGGGTTTAGATGTCAAGGAACTCTTGGTAGTATCTTGCAGTGGATGCAGTTTGGGCTGGGTAGCAATAAAATGCACCCTGGCTGGAGTGTATGTATGTGTGTGAACTGCAGGGTCAGCCCAGAACAAGCAGGAGGCAAGGAATAAAATGGTCCTCTGAAGAATACTGGGATTGTGAGCTTTAGCTTCCTGTCCACAGAGCTCAGCACAGCACTCATAGCGGGACTTAAGGGGCAATTTCCAACAGAACTTTAATAAGATGTGTGCCAGTCAATGCACATGGGGAGGAACATGCAGCTTTGTGTCTTGGGAAGCACGGGATGTGGCACAGAGGGAGTCCCCTCTCACATCTAACACTTCTGACCCCATGGGTGTGTGTGCCAGAGCTGCTCCCAGTACAGAGCCCCACTGACCTTACTGGCTGAGTGCCATGGCTGAGAGCGATGCCAAGCCCCTGCAGCAAGGATGGACAACCAGGCAAAAGGCTGGGGGGGTGGGGGTCACCTGCCAAAGCACCTTCTCCATGGTAAATATGGATTTGGCAACACCAATGAACTTGGAAAAATGGTACTGTGCCCTGCACTGCAAAGGTTGGGCTGACCCAGAATGAAGCTGGTTTTTGACTGGCTACACATTTGGGTTGGTTCCTACCTAGAATTGCTTTCCAATGAGTAGTAAATCAGTTGTTCAGCCTGGCTGGGTTCAAGTACCAAAAAACTATTTCCTTAAAGCCCTTTCTTTGTTTTGGTTTTTGGTTTTCTTTTTGTTTTGTTTTGTTTTTTTTCAAGAAACCTGGTTTTCACAATCAGAGAGGAGCAGCAGAAAGTTCTGTGTTGCTGGCAGATGGGGGTGAAGCAACTGCGTTTATTCTTCGTTACCCACTATCACTCTTTAGCTGTAAAACTGGCATGTCAAACATGTACATTCACAAAGCAGGTGATGGTGGTGGGATAGCTGGGGGCCATGCACGTTGGACCAGAGGAAGGGCTCAGGCTGTGCCCTCGGGCTGTGCTGGTGAGGAGGCAGGGCTGGTCCACAGCAGCGGCTACAGCACAGCTCCCACGGGAGGGAAGCGAGTTGTCCAGCCCCATGGAGGTGTCATCCTCTCTGCAATGCTTCAGAAAGAGGTGTGAAAGCGCTGGGTGGTTAATTTTACCCTAAAGAGAAAGAAAGTAATTGTTGATGGGGGGAAGCTCCAAATTTTCACTCGTACCTGTGTTTTCACGGCGTGGCTCTTCTTGTCAGTGCCTGGATTGTGGGCACCAGACACCCCCCTCCAGATGCTGCCAGCTGCCCACAGAACTCTGACCTCTTGTGAGAAGAGGAAAACCAAGTCACAGTGGAGGGTGTGATACTAAAGATGGATGAGCAGAAGCCCCTGGTGAGCACAGCCCTGCCCTGGGCTCAATCTCCCCCCAACTGCCCACTACTTGCCATGGGGAGACCTGAAGCCAAGGCGAGGGGCTCACCATTGCCTGAGAGCAGGCTGCTGCTCACACCTGGGCTGGGGGGAGCTTGGCATTGTTGGTTTTATTCAGGGCTATTGGAAAAATCAGAGGGATTTATCATTGTTATTACTACCACGGGACAGCCTTGGGGAAAATGCAATTTGATGCTTGCTCCCTGGTAGCAAGGCCAATCTATAAAGTGCCTCCTTCCCTAAAGCAGAGAGTGGGAAACTGTCTGTTTCTAATTAAAATCATTTAAGCAAATTACCACAATAGGCAAAAATAAGTCTTTTTGTCCTGGGTGTCATTTGACAGATTTCAGAGCCTCTGAAGTGGTGCATTGAGTGTTCTCTTGGCTTCACCAATTCAATAAAAAGGTCAAAGATAAGGAAAAAATTTACAGAACAAAACCTGAAAGTAAAATATAAATCCCGCTGCACTGTGGTACCAAACTCCATCATGCAATTAATGCAGACAGCACCCAGGCCTAACCAAAGTGATGCTCTCAAAGACCTGCAGCCATCCCAAGGAGGGCAGCATTTCCATTCAATCCTTTCCCAGCAATCAAATTCTCCCATCCTTACTAGATCACAGAGACAGACAGCACCAAATGTAGTCCAAAAAGACCAGCAAAGCCCTGGTAATGCTGATGAGGAGCTTATTCTGTCCTTTTTTGTTCCCAGGGGATCTTTTGTGCAGGTGCTGGGTCTCTGGGATGGGGTATCTGCTGCTGATCTGACATCTGATGCCACAGGAGATGTGACTTTTGGCAGTTTAGGCCCAGTGAAAATGTCAGCTTATTTTATCCTCCCCAGCCTGAGGTTTCCTGTGCTGCCTGTCCACTACACATTTAAATCCACCTTCTAAAGGTGAACCCAGCTTCACAGGCACCAGTTGTTCTTAAGCCATGCTTGCTGCTCCTGTTTCAGAGCTTCTGTACCCAGAGGTTTTCCCTGGTTCCTTTTACCCATGGCCTGTTATCCACATCTGCAGGGGCTCCTGCACACCTGTCCTGACACCACAGCACAACCAACTTGATGTTTAACAGCCAGCAGCTTGTGTTTTCTGGATGTGCTACAGATTCCCTGTTTGCTACTGGTTAGGATCCTATTTACCCCTTACTTTCCCAGGTGGGAAATGGAGGAGCAGACGTGGTCTGTCTTACAGGAAATGCTAAAGCTCAGTTCTGTAACACCTCTACAGCCCAGCAAGCCACAGAGCTGCAGATGCCACAGCACAGGCCGTTCCCTAAACCAGTCCCTTTGGTAGAAATGGACAAAGACACTTGAAACTGTTGGATGCTGTGAGCAGAAATCCTTTTGGCCATTGCTGCAGCAGTGGTAATCTTGAGGAGCTCATCCCCTGGCTCACCACTGACCTGCCTGATTGGTTTTCTCCAGCTGCTGCTGTCCTGCAAGCCTCTCCCTGGCAAAGCAAGGTAACTGTGGCTTGCTGCAGCCTGGCATTCTGGCAGGGTAACTCTGCTGCTTTTCCTCTTGAGCACTTCCAGCCCTGGGCTAACAAGAAGCACCAGCTGGTACTTGTCTTCCAAGGACACCTTTGCTCTTCTGCTGCCTGTGTTCTAAAAACTGATGGTTCTTCATCCCTTTTCCTCTAAAATGACAAATACAAAGTTTTCCCATCTGCACCATGTCATGATCTTCACTTTCTATGCAGTAGCCCAAAAAGTGGAGCTCAGCATCCCCGTTTGGATACAGGGTAGTGACTAAAATACCTGTTTCTGTCTGTCCAGCATGGCAGTACAAGCAACAGTTTAGGGTGTGAGGCAAGAGAAATGCAGCCTGAGTTATTCCTATGCTTCTGCTGTGGGTTTGCTTTGGAGACCTGCCATTTTTCCTTACTGTATAGTGCCAGTTGTACAAATACACTGCCCTACCTGAAGTCTAGCTTGGTGAAACATACAATTAATTGTTTGTATTATAAATTTCCCTTGTTTATATATATATATATATATATATATATATATATATATAAGACTGCTGAGATCAGGGGAAATGCTTGAGCCAGCATATTCACAATGAAAGCTGGTGCTCTCAAGACTCCTGACTCTCTGCCCCTTTCTCCTGTTCAGGCAGCCCAAAGCTTTTTATAGTGCACAGCCATGGAAAGGCGAAGTGAAAAAAGTTTGTCATCCCTTCTGATGCCTGCATTGGATAAATGGACCTAGTTTGGAGGGGTCCTGTCCCACCACAGGTTAGTTGGGACTGTGGGTGTTGCTTTGTCCTTAACCCTGAAGAAGGACCTCCTGAACTGGGAGAACAAAGAGGTACTGATGCCTGCTTTCCACAGGCTGTGGGCTCACAGTGCAGTGCAGGCATTGGATGGGGAGGAAACTTTCTGGGAAGAGAGGTATTGCATTAAATCCAGACAGACAGCATCCAGCCACCAGGAGAACAGCAGGGGCTGTGAGGAGGCTAAGCCAGAGGTTTGCACCTAAGTACCAAAGGAGCTTCCTACCCCAGCAGCTCTCTGTGGGATCACCAATAGGTGCCCTGCCCAGCACAGGGCTCTCCTCCACCCTCGGTGGGCAGCTCAGGGACCCTTGCTGCTTTCTGACACCCCAGCTCTCTTTACAACAGGAGGTGTTGTAAAGCTGTACAGGATCTGTTCTGCATGAAAAATAAAAAACTTTGTTAAAAGCAGACCATACATCATACAGGAGAGGCTGGACACTTGCAGGGCAGTGGGGTTTGCTGCCATCCCTTTCTCAGCATCTCCCTCCTGGCAGGAGTAATGAACTGGGGGCGGGTCTCAGCTCTGCCACACTTGGTTGGCTCCCAGTTTTGGCAGCAGGTTTGTGTGAAACTCCTCTGGCTGGAAGGGCCCTCCCTTTGTGTGAGCAGCCTTCTTTCAGCAGGGCTCCTCCTGCCATCTTTTTGGAGTGGAAAAGCGTCCAGGCGCTGACGCCAAGCCAAGCTCCTCTTGCCCTGTTGCAATCAGAGGGATCACTCCACCTGGATGGCCACTGCAACTCTGCACATCATGTTCAAGCTATGAAATCACAGCCCCACCCCATTTGGCCACATTGTCAGCAGCTCCCTGTCTCATACTGGGTTGCAATCCTGGAGTTTTGGATACTTACCTGGGGAAGCAGATCTGGGATGCTGCTTCAGCCAGGGGCACTCATTGTGCTCTGAGGGGATCTGTTTCCAAAGCATGGAGACACTGCCAGCAAGTCCCTTTCAGGGGCAGGAAAAGTCTTGTTCTTTGGCTCCCCCAGTATTGTTTTATGTGAGAGGCTTTTGGCAGCACGAGGCTGTACTCGCTGCCCTGCCGGCGAGGTGCTACAGGGCACCAGTCCTGTGCTAGGAAAAGTGTCCCTGGGCTGCTGGGAGCTCTGGTCTTTGCGTGGTGGCAGCGGATGGAAGCAGGGGGTGGCCCCAGTCACTTCAGCGGTACAATACGATTTACAGCAAGCACGTTTCTCAAGACATCTGTGGGGACACAGCTTCAGTGAACATCACATATACACAGACAGCAGAAGGGGCTGGGCTGCATCCCTCCACTACTGCAAAGCAGTCACGGATGGAATCTCGGGGTAGGAAAAGAGTACCACTGGTTTGCTTTTACATCCTGTACAAATATCTATGAATAGCTCCTTGGCATTTGATGTTCACAGCCAGTGTCCTTTAACAGCGAGCATAAAAAGGAGGCAAAACGTTTTCAGCGACCTCCCACTGGGAGCAGAGGGAAAGCAGCATCTCTCCCTCCCTTGGTTCAGCTGCCTGCCCAGGTGCCACATTCACCAAGGGTGCTTCCTTGTCCTGGCACCCTCGTCCTCCTCGTCGGCCGCTCACCGCGTGCTGGCCGGGACCAGTCCCAAGCAAAGCCGTGCTTGCCTCATCTCCGCTGCTCAGGGGCATCAGTGCAAGTCTGCGCCGGCCGCTCTGCATCTCCGCTCCGCTGGACGGGCAGGTGAACCGGGCAGACACAAGGAGACAAAACAAAAGGGAGAAGAAGAGAGACAAAGGGTAATGAAAAGGTCCGTGGCCCACGGCTGCCAAAGGAAATCTCTCGCCGTGTTTCTCTGACCATACTTGTCCCAGCTACTACAGCTGCTGTGGGATCCCCTGTTCCTTGTAGCCTGTGAGGAGGGAGGGGAAGGGAACATGATTAGAGTTAATTCCAAATGAGGACCCTCGGTGAGGCTCAAGCAAGCCACAAGCCTGGTTTACCAGGAGTGGCAAAATCCACGTGGGAAAACAGGGAGGCTGCTGCATTCCCCCTCACAGCCAGGCTGCCCAGGGCAGCCACCCTGCCCTGCTTTGGCCACCTTCCTGGGCACAGCCATGTGGATGCTGGCAGCCAGCCCTGCTGCTGTGGCACCCGCCTGCCCCCAGCCTGGCACAGGCACCTCTGCTTGAAGAGATTGTAAAGGCACAGCAGGTACCAGTGGTTGCCAATTCCAGCCCAATAACCTAAAGTTGTCATGGAGTGTGTTTTTCTGCAGTGCAGGGGAAATGGATGCCCTTGTATCCAGCTTCAAAGACACGGCTGTTCCCAAGCGCTGCCCTGGTAGGTCGTGCATCTGACACACATCTTGGGATCTACTTGTGTTCTGAACCTCATCCTCCCAGAGCACTGCCAGGTTGCTTTCCTCTATCCATCTTTTTTCCCACGCTGGTTTTTGCTGACAGTGCTCCCCAGCAGCAACCAATTTGCGCTGCAGTTTGCACAGGTGAACAAACACCTCTTGGAGGAGAAGGGGAATGCCTTGAATCACAGGCTGACATGTCAAACACAGACCTTGGGATGCCTGTAATGATATTCCCACTGCCTGGTTCTGCACTTGCTTTGCTCCAGCCCAGGAGAATGACAGGTGCTTTCATTAGGGCACAGCAGCCAACCAGTGGGCCTGGAGAAAACTGATCTTTTCAGCAGCAAAACCAAGGAAACTGCCTGGATCCCTGTTCCTTCATGTCCTTTCCTCTTCCTGTGGCCATGAGGTTTGATGCACTTCCCAACCAAGACAGCAAAGCCCTTGGGGTCCCCACTGTGTTGCAGCCACATGGATGTTGCAAGGGCTCAAGCAGCTTGTCCTGCTGCTTGTCACAGCTCCTTGGGGTCCCAGATTATTTACTGTCCTGCACACAGTGGTTGAGGGCAGGCTGCAAATCCCATACGAGACAGCTTCATCCCCTGGGGGGCTAGAGCAGGGAAGGGCAATAGAAGAGCACTTGCAGCTCCTGTGATAGTACAGGATGATGAGAAAAATACTGATTTTTTAATGCTTTCCTAAGTGGTTGCAATGACTGTGCCATGAAGCTTTTCCCACTTTCCTTTCAAGAGAAGCTGGGCTTGTTATTCTGACTGTATTAACGCAAAAAATCTCCTTATTAGAGAAGCGAACTGTCCTTACTTGCAGTGCCTGCCACAGTGAAGATCTTTCAACTAAAAAACTTCTTTTAAATCTGGAGGATTGTTGTTTTTTTTCTTAGCTTAAATAATATAAGTAGCCTGTCATTTTTATATTTTGAATTTCAAAGGAGTCTGAAGTTTCATATCTCAGAAGAATGCTTAACTTTTCAAACACTTCTCCATTTATGCTTTGTAATATTTCTTTCTAACCCTTGTGTTAGGCTTTTGTAAATCCCTTACAAAAACTGAACACAAAATACCAGCAGGTGCCAGAACCCCTATCTTTAAGGGACGTTTTGCTGAACTAAGAATTGAGTCCAGCAAATTAACTTTGCTGTACTTTGGAAAAAATGCACACATTTGCCCAGGTTTGGCAGCCTGGACCTCCTGCTGTTAAACAAGCACAAGGGACAGAATAATGACACTTCACTGAATTTCTGCCTGTTGTGTGCAGCTGAACATAAAGACTCCCTTCTCTTTCACAGCTTTTTCTAGGGGGCAAAATGATGATTTCACATGCATTTATGTTTTAAGTATGAGTCAGCTCTGAAGGCAAGGTGAGCTGGCTGGAAACTTGGGCTTCTCTAGAGCTTTGGTTTAATTGTTTGCGGAGCAGAGTTTAAAAAACACACAAACAGCCTTATGGACCAGAAAGGTGGGGCCTGCCTTAAATCTTTAGCTAAAGTGAGAGTAACTTACTTGTACAGCCATGCCTTTTATTGAGATTGAGAAACCCTTTCAGTCTGGCTATCACTGTTGAAACTGGCTAGAAGGAAGTTACAGTGGCCAAGCCTGTCTCTTTACATGACCATAAGCCAAAAAATGACCTGAACTATGCTAAACTTGTTTATTACAATACTTCAGACTTATCAAATAGTTTATATGTGAAAATAGTTCATGCATTTCTTGCTTAGGAATAGCTGTTCTGTACGAAGCAGCTTTAAATAATATGTCTGCAATAAAATCGAGGTGCAATTCTGTAGAACAGACAGCTCTGGGTTCAGGATTAAGTGGGCCTGCACACAAAGTCACTGATTTGATCAAGCTTACTTGAAATTTGTCTTCTCCTGTAAACTATTGCATGTAAGACTGAGGCAAAAAGAACCCGGTCTGTGCACAGCAGCCCTTCTGGGGCTCAGTTCATGCAGAGGGTGGCTTCAGGATGCTCTCAATGCTGAAACAGGTTCCTGCTCTGCTCCAAGGGTGCCCTTGCAGCACTGGCCAAAGCGAATTCCAGATGTCCTGCCCTGACTGATGCTCGCTGCTCTCCATGGGAAACTGCCTCGGAGTGTGAGGAGGAGGAGGTAGAACAGAAACAAACTTACCTTGTGAGACTTTGATGGTGAACAAAAGGAGGCAAAGGAACATGAAAGAAAGAGAGAGGGAGAAATGTAACTGTAGACAATATATCTGAAACACACGGAGAACCAGAAGAGAATGAACAAATTGAGGCTGCAGAGTAAACAGAGAACAGCTGGTCTGCCATCAGACATTCACACCAGGGCTAAACATTACTTAAAATCCTTGTACTTGAAATGGATTATTTCATTTGATGATCCAGTGAAGTGGATCATTATTTCTCTTGTTTGAAGCTGACAGAGGAATCCTCATCTGCTTTTCCAGCCCCAAGCTGGACAGGCTGGATGGACTAACACCTCTGAGAATGCTCTCAGAAACTCTCTCCTCTGTGCCATTGGCATTTCATGGGTTTGACTGAAGGGGAACCACTGAAGGAAGGCATCAAACAAGACATCACACTGTACCAAAGGCCTCAGGGCATACCATTCACAGTCCCAGAGCTGAGAAAACTACACCTGAAGAGTTTTTGGCAGGTTCCCTGCTCAGTTTGCTTGTGCCCACTGGCAACTCATGACCACAGCATGCCTCAGCCTGTCTGGGTGCTGCAAACACTGGTGCTATTTAACATTCCTACAATGTTTTAAAAACTTGCTGCATTTGGTAGGAAACTGCAAAAAAATATAATTCAACTACTTTCCTCAGACCTAGTTTGGGGGACAGGTCTTTTTAGATTTTTTTTTTACAAGTGTAATAGGCCTAAGCAGGCAATTTGTCCTTGGAATTTTCTTCATCTCATGAAGGGCTACTGGTTGGTTTGGGCCTCCTGCTCCCTTTTTCTTCCCAGGAGAGCTGTGTAACCTTCCCTAGAAGAGGCCCTGAAGAGCAGAGAGGCTCGGTGATGCTTTCCCTCAGAGCTGGAGCATCCAGCGACTGTGCAATCATCTGCTGCTGCTTCTGGCAGGGTCTGAACAGAGTAATTAGCAAAGGAGTGACAAGGATGGCATGATTGCAGGTGAGTTCTCACTACTGTCTGGCAATCAGCCCCGAGAGTCCCCATCCAGTGAACCCGAGAGCAGTAGTGCAGCCAAGCACATCGTTTATTCAGGCTGAAAAGCTGAGGGAGGGCTTCCTTCAGAAACCAGGCTTGACTTCTTAGCTGCATTTAGCACAGGCAAAACAATGCCTGGACAAACAGTCCCAGACTTGCATCCCCTGTGCCACGTCAGTGTGACATTACTGACATTACATTGATGTCAGTGTGACATTACTATGTCGTTTCTGTGGCGTTTCTGTTAAGAAATGGCACACAACCTCTTATACCTGGCTCTGAGCAGGCAGGGACTTCCTGAAAAGGCCATTCCGCTGTGTTCATTCTGCACAGTGGGGCTAATGAAGATGGCTTGTTTTCCAGTTGGCTTTGGCCAGCTAATTCACTCTGGTTTGCCTCAGCTCTGCACATTGTCCCTGCAGAGCTGGCGAGGGTTCGAGGAGAGCACAGTGCAGCAGCGCTGCCCAGACATTTCTTGACAGAAGAATTAGGTGCTCCCTTGTAACTCTACCTTTACCTTCGGGCAGCAGGTACAGCAGAGGACAGTTCCCAAAACCATGTGGCTGCTTAAAGAAGATATCTCTGGTGTCCAATGGGGCCAGCTGGAAGTTTGTTTAAACTAGCAGAGAAAACACCCTGTGCTGTGGTGCTGCCAAAAGTAATTAAGTGTGATGGCAAAACTGCATTCCATTTATCTTCCTTCTGGAACATTATCCCACTAAAGGGCACCCTAGAGGAGATGAGGGTTGGACAGGACCCCCAGGTCAGTCTGTCTCTTGCTGTGTCCCACCTTGTCCCTGACAGACATGGGTCTACCCACTCTTGGAGGCCTCCAGGGACAGAAGGAGCAGGTCCTGCCATGCCACTTCTGCGGCATTTCGACCTTACTGGAGGAAAAATGTCTTCTAATTTCCACACGGGTCCTTCCTGGTGTTATTTAAATCTGTCTTAGGCTGAACTGCTGCCCTCTTACATTTGCTAGCCACTGAACACCTTCATCATCAACACGCCTACTGTCTTATGGTTCTCTGGACTCTCTCCAGGCTTTCCACTTGAAGTACAGCATCCAAAGTTGGCCACAAGCCTCACCACAGCTTTATGCATGCAGAGAAAGGTTATGGGATCAGCGAAAGCCCTACAAGCTTTGCTCCCACCTGCTTGTGTGGTGTTTGTTCCCTCTGCAACAATGTCCCCCCTGTGCAGCTTGTGACTCACTGCAGTCCTTCCCTGAAAAACAAGTTGTTCCCTAGAGTGTATTTATGCAGTTGATTAATCATTCTGTAGAGTCTTGGGCTTGTCCCTACTGAGTAGCACTTACAGTTTCCAGACCATTTCTTCGATTGGCGTGGATCCTGTGCCTGCTGCCCCCGCAGCCAGTGCTGGTGTGCGGCTGGAGAGCCTCTTCTCCAGTCCATCCTCAAGCCACAAATGGAGATTCTGAGCAGAGCTGGATTCAGGAGGGACCTTTCAACATACCTGTCTTTATCTCTTCCCAGGTCAGGAAAATCCATTTAGAGGAAAGTTCTCAGGCACATTTTCACGCAGGCCACGTTCCCCTGGCTTGCTGGTAGGAGCGCTGTGTGAGACGGGGTCAGCATCTGAAGGTTAGGAGGGATGGCTGACTACTGCCAGCTCACACGAATTTAATTCCTCTGCCACCAAAGGGAATCAAGCCAGTCTGACACAGCTCACTCTGGACAAACCCACGGTGACTTTGTGGGGGTGTTTTTTATTTTCTAAATGCATGTGAGTCACTTACTTGATTACTTCTTCCAGGAACTGAAGTATACCTGATTGGCCTATAATTCTTCTTCTTTTTCCCTTCATTAAAGGCAGTATGCCATTATCCTCAGACCAGACTCCCCGCTTCCATGCCTGGGAAATAGCACTAGAAGATGAAAAGCTGCAAGGAGCCTCCTGTTCAAGACATGTGGATGCAGCACTTGGGGAATGGGGTTCAGTGGTGGGCACGATGGTGATGGCTTAACACTTGGACTCAATGATTTCAGAGGATTTTCCCAACATCAGTGATATTATGATTCTGTGGTTCTAACTCCCTCCCAAGTCTCTACCAGCTAACAGAGAGGCAGTTCCAGGGAGCAAGGTGATAAGGAAAAGCCTGAGCAGAGTTCCTGACCCTCAGCTGCTTCCTCCTCCTCACTGCTAGCCCTCACCAGCTTAGACAGAACTTGCTGTGTCCTGCCTCTAACCCATCCAAATAGCCTGGCACCCTCAGCTGCTTCAAGCTGCAGTGGTGTACAGTTTCTGTCCAGTGCATCCAATGGTTTGCATGCAAACAAAACCCAGCCAAAGCAAACTGGCAGTGCTCTTAAAAGAAGTGTCTTATTTCTTGCATTTGAATCGCGGTTTCCTTCTTAAGTTGTTTTGTGTTTTTTAAATATGTTAACAAGGAGCAACCACTTTGGGTCTGACAGGGCTATTTGATCCAGGTAAGAGCAACCAATCACTCTGTTCTTTGTTTCAATTAAGCTTTTTCTTTTCTTTTAGTCTCCATCAACCCAGAGACGCTGCATTTAGCCACTACTTTCTCTGCATGGCAAGTAAACTTAAAAGCAGCTATTTAATGAGATGGCAAGAAACTGCCAAGGGCTGCAGCTTGCCAGATGCTTCTGATGAAACAAAGGACATGTTGACTCCTCTCACCATTCTCTGCTACCACCAGAGGGATGAAACACTGCTGCTGAGCTTGGGGACCCCTTGACCTGAGCATTCCCACCACATGCTGCTCATTCATCTCCTGCCTCCCAAACTGGTGGAATAAAGCCAGATGTGGGAAAGAGTGTTCAGGAGATACTTCCAAGCTGTATGGTTTTCCCCAACAGTGAAACTGGAGAAGACCCTCCCAATAAGACCCTCCTAAGCACCAAGCCCTCTAGCTGGAAAGCAAGGCTATGGAGCAAGGCAAGTCACAGTTTCAGTGGTGGTTCTTTATGGGGACAGATGATTTCCTGACTCTCCCCACACCTGCAGAATGGGGTCCTGCCAGACAGCGACCCACACATGGGGGCTGCCCCGCAGAGGAAGAGCAGAAGAGTTTATGGTTATGAACGTGTGCTTATGACATTACACACAAATCTGGCAGGTTCTTAAAGACATGTACACCAATTCACAATTTAGCCTCAGAAGGAACCTGCTCTGGAAGGAAATGTGGTAGGTGGTTTGCAGGGTAAAGCAAAGAGCAGTACTGCCTTCATCCTGAGGAAAGCTTTTGCTTTGTACATGTTCAGGTTTTTAATATCCGTTGTTTGCTCTGCATGGGAGCTGTCTTAACTGAGGCTGGCTCAGAAATTAGCAGGTGGTTTGGTGAGAGGGTTTAACCCCTGGGTTTGGCAGGTGAAAATACACTGGTTTCCTGCCTTTTTTTTTTTTTTCCCTCCAGTTTCATCCATCTTGTCTTTAGGCAGGTTCCTGGCAACTTCCTGAGATCCTCTCTCCCTCTGTGTCGTGCAGCCACAGGTGTCATCAGCAGAGATGACAAAGTGAAGCTGTCTGGAAAGGAGTGGGGTCTTGCAAATGCCACTAGCACCTGTGTTGCTCCTGGCTTTGGAGGTGAGATGAGGCTGTCACCTCAATCCTCTGCACCAGGACACAGGAGATATGACAACTTCCACACCAGTGAAAGCCTCTACCAGATGAAAGTTACAGAGCCTGTGTTCTGGATTGGTAGTATCTACTAACTGGTGACTTAAATGATGTACATTTTAAAAAGGATTCTTCTTTCCTTAGACTAATGTTTTAGTCACCTCAAAGGGTGTATGGGACATCATTCTAGGAGCAGCTAAACACTTCTGGCTCAGCTTAAGAGCTTGGTCTGAAACATGGAAATAACCTCCAAAACAATGGGTAAATGTATCCTGGGGAGAAAGGGCAGGGTCCAGGAGAGCCCCTAGGGCTTTTCTGGGGACAACTGGCCCTGGGAGCAGAACCAACCTAACAGAAAGGTCTCACTAACTCATTTGCAGCTGGAGTCACAAGAGAGAAAGGGCTTTCTTGTTCAAATGGATGTGACCAGGGCAGAAGGGGCTCCAGACAGCAGAGTGCACAGTGTTCCCCCTTACTGCACATTTCATTTCATAACGGGAAGTTCCTGACCCATGTGGTGGGATGGGAGACTTTCCCAGATATGCCACAGGGCCCATTCCTACTGCCTCCTACCAATTTCTCAGCCTACCGTGTTTCTCATGGACTTGCAGAGCCCATCCTGTGGCTCTTCCTCCCTACAGTGCAGCCCAGTGCCCTGCAGGGACATTATCCGGGACCCAGTAACCTCGCCATGGAGAGGAGAAGTCAGGAGGGGTGTGTGCAGTGTACTTACTTGCAAGAATGACCATGTCCATGCCCCAAAATATACTCATGATCCAGCCCACCATGACGATGGCTGTCAGGATCTGGATGAGGGCAGCAGCGATGTTCAGCCAGAAGACGCAGCACATGTGCCGGTCAGGGAGGTCGGTGCGGGCCCCGCAGAGCACGGTGAACGCCGACACGAACGTTCCTGGGACAGAGAAGCAGCACAACACCCACTGAGAGCCACGGCCTCCTGCCAGATCACCCCCTTTAGACCTGCTCCCCTCATAGCACCTACAGTTGAAGACCAGGGTGGGAAAAGCACTCCTTGGGTTTTGGCTCCTTGCCCACCCAGCAGAAACCACTTCTGTACTACAAGGGAGTGCTGTGTGTCTGTGGAAATACCTTTGTTCTGCCTGGTGACTCTCTCCTGGGGACAAACACTTACTACACAGCAGCTCTCAAAAGGAAAACCAAACCCAGAGTAAGGGCAGGACTGGCTCTAGAAATCTCTAATGGTTGTTATTATGCACAAATACTGCTCTAGAAGAAGCAGACCCCAAAAAAATGGAGTGGCACTGCATTTTTGCACAATGCCTTCCTCAGTCACAAGCTGCTACCTGAAGGCATGTTTTAACCAAGCAGAAGTAGCTAAACTTCTTAAAGTGCTGGAGCCAGGGGACCTGCTGTGGCAGCCCTTGGCTCTGCTTGAGACCAACTTAAAATCTTGCAACTACACATCAAACTTCCTAAAAGGTTTCAGATGAAGGATCTTGTTGATGTAGGAAAGTTAAAGCTGGGGAAAAAAACCTACACCTCAGCAGCCTTTCACAAAGATTCTTCCTAAATTTACACTCTTGGACAAGGCAGATTTTTTACTTTTAGCTGATATGTGGTGCTCATGGCTGGCTGAAGCTCACAGCTCAGGGAAGCCTTGTCTGTCCACAGTCATCATGAAGAAATACACGCTATGGGTAAGGAGCAGAAGAAGCAGTTCCTGGCTCCTATAAAATATAATCTGTTGGCCAGGAGGTTCAGGCACCTTATCAAAGTATGGATTTCAACACCTCTTAGCATTATGAATTGTCTTTGGGTTTTTCTAAAACAAATACAGCCTTGCTAAGGTAAGTACCAAGGTGCAATGTTATTTGTATTGGATAACACAGTTCTCTGAAATGCCATCTTTTATCAATATCTTGAATTAAAATGATGGTTTCTTCAAAAACTGCCTTTTTTCCTCTTAAAGGGTGGAAGCCTGTGAACAGCCTGTAAGATGTAAATGAATGATCACATCTTCAGTACACGAGTGCCTTGTTGAACTCAGGGGAAAGTGGGAGTCCCTTGGTTTGACTGAAGACAGGGACAAAACACTTAGTTTGCACCCTTGTAGTAAATCTTACCAGACCAAGAGAGCAGAACCATCTGGTTAGAAGCAAAATATAATTTTGTCCTGCACTGCCGAGGTGGTGGAAAAGAGAATCTCTTTCTTTGCTGCCTCTTCCTCAGTGGGTCACAAGGATAACAGGCAGTTGAGATGCCAAAATGCTGGGGAAGGCTGGCTACAGCCTATTTTTAATCCTGCCACCCTCTGCAAGCTAACAACTCCAGCGTCTTCCTAACATTCCACCAGCTCCTAAAACCTCACTCATCTTCCTGCCACTGGCTGGATCCAGTTTCTTATTCCCACCCCCTCCCTGTGGCACCTGCCAGAGCTGGGCACGGAGCAGGCACAGAGGCTGCTGGGGCACGGGGAAGGCAGCCCTACAGCAGAGCATCACTGCCAGGGACAAGGGCAGCATCTTCTGCATGAGAGCCACCCCTGGCTGCTTTCACAGGCAGGGTTTCATCCCCTTATGCACAAAAACAAAAGGGTCTGCAGAGAGGAAAGGGAAAGTCATTATAATCCCAAAGGATGTTGTGTAAATCTCCCCATAGTTGTCTTTAGGTCTGTGGCACTGTCTTCCACTTCTGTCTCTTGTGTCCCCTGTGTGGGATTATGTGACATCTCTGCCCTGCTTCATCCACCTTTTTTTCCTTTATAGATTTTTCAAAGCAGAAGGAAGCCTGGAATATTTCCCTCATGCTTCCTGAAAGTGTTGTCTTCAAAATTATACCACAGCACTTTCTGAGATTAAATTTGGATTGAGGCAAGATCAGGCACTGTTTATGTTTTCCCATCAGGATGCAAAATCTTGCCAAATGGAAATGCCTGTCTCTTTTTAAAATGAAAATCTTCTCCTCTTGCCTTACCTTTAACTCTTCCAAGATGCGTTACAAAGAAAGGTCATAAATGAGCAATAATTCTTAAACTACAGCTTCAAATCCTTCCACTGGAGCTTTTAGAATAGTTACATCATTAGAGCAAGGTGCTGAATTAGACAATTAATGCCCTGAATACCACAGTGACTAAGCTAAAGTCTAGTCCCATTCAGAAAGGAATAAAGCTAACAAAGCACTGAAGTTCCTCTGGACTGGGAATAGATACAGAAACTGGGATTAAAATCTCATGAACCTTGGCTTCTGATTTCCCTTCAGAGGGAACCAATTCATTTTTCCAATGTCAGTGCATTTTCTTTATTACTTATGATTAGCCAATCTTTGGATTTGGGAGCTTGCTGGCATTTTTGAATACATGAGTTTAGCCATGCCAGCAGGCATAGAATGGAAGCATTTTTCCCCTATTCCACATATGCTTGAGAACATGAAGCAGGAGTAAGAGTCTTAAATACTTTTGCCAAAGTAGATTTTTTCCCCTTAGGAAGCCATTGTGGTTACACACTGCCAAATATGGAATTATTTGCATCTGGAAACAGAGAGGTGGAGAGAAGGAGGAGAAGGAAGCCAGGCAAGCTGTGTCTGCTGAGACCACCCGGCTGCCTCAGAGCTGGGGCATGGAACCATTTCCCTCCCTGACCAGGCATTCAGACACTTGAATCCCAGAAATCAGCCCAGAAATCCTAAACCTGGAATGCCAGCTGCTGGGGTGATGTTGGCCCAATAAATCATCAGTCCAAAGAGGTCTCAGGTTGTGAGTGCAACCAGCAAGCCAATAACTCCACAAACAGCTATAAACTGAACACCCACACAGCTATGCCAGTATAACGTAAGGAAATTATAGTAAGCATTTCTTCTATCTTCCCAATGGAAAACATTCAAACTGCAATGAAATCTGGGATTATTCTAAATCATGAATTGATGCAGCCTCTTTGGGGACACAGGGGAGTTGATGAAGATGTCCTGTCCTTTTTTTCATGAGTCTGTTTTTTCAGCCCCTTGCAATCACCTGGCTGAACTGTACAGCCCCTGCTGCACCCAAAGCCAGCAAGTGCCAGGGGCTGGGCAGAGGGATGGGTGGGAGCTGAGGATTGCTCTTCTGGAGCAGCTGGGAGGCAGAGGGTGTGACACTGATCTCGCTCTTTAGACTCGTCTCACTTGGGGCAGTGTCAGCCAGCTGGGGCACCCACATGGTACCAGGGTAGAAAAAGAGCCCCTGGGAGCCTCTGCTTGCTTTGGCTGTCAGCACAATCAGAGTATTTTTAGATTACACCAGTAAATATAGACAGATGTTTGTTTCCAGGAGTTTAACCCATTGGACACGAGGGGGATATGTTGTCTGCAGAACAACACAATAAAATGAAGGGGAAAAGGAGGGGTTTTGCCCTTTCTCTCCTCTCTGGTCCATTGTCATACAGGATAAAGTCCCCTCCCTGGTGTCTCTGTTACCTCAGCAGCCATGGCCTTCCCAAGAGCATCACCTGCTGGTTCCTGGCCTCACAGAGTACAGCAAAATACTTTGAGAGGGATAGCTTGGTTTGTTTTTTTTTTTCTTTTAGAGCAAAACCTCACACCCCTGAGTGTTCTCCCCTGGTTTTCTATTGTTTGAGTCACTCATGCAGGGTGGAAAAAGCCATGAAATCAAGACCATGGCCTGTCCTGAACAGTCTGTTCTGTGTTATCCAAGTGCAGAAGGGAACTTGTTATGGAATACCTTAAGCTGTAGGAGAGAAGTTTTTCCTCTCCTGTTTTTACAAGGAAGTCTATCCTGGGCACTCCTGCAAGAGCTGTAGTCAGACACAGAGCTTGGCACGTTTCATGTGGAGGACCAGCTGTGATGGCAGCTTCCCAGGAAGGTCAGAAGTAGGAGCCTGGTTGGAGCCTGAGGGAGACTGGACACTGATGACCACAGTGTAAGCTCAAGTAACTTGAGCATGCAGACAGCTGAGTGGGCTTCCCACTGACTGCCAGGTACCCAAGACTTCCCAGAATAAAGCATCTCTGCTGCAAGAAAATCACATCTGATGAGCTGGTACAGGTGGAGGAATAGCAGAAACCCAAATTACTGCAATCAGGGACCACATGTGGAGATGATGATGGTGATTCTATGATGATGATGATCCCTACCCTACAAAAGTCTGAGAGCCAGGGAGCGGGGGGTAGGGAGTATTTTTTCCTCTTCCTGAAACCCTGGAGATCATTTAAGCCAGTCCCCTGTGGTGCTGGGAGTAAATAAGGCAGTATTATGGTGCCTCCTTTCCTGCTCCAGAGAGGAAAAGCAGGCCTACATCACAACTGAGGATATGGAGCAAAGCTGCAGGAAGCACACAGCTGGAGGCAGGTACGGGCAAAGATGGGAACAAAATCGGAGGTGTCTGTGGGAGCAGGGCTGTTGGATCATCAAGGGGGATGTAATTAACAAGTATGTGTTTTGTGGGGATGAGCTGTACCTGTGTATTGTGTCAGGGGAGCTCTGTGTGTGGGGACATGTCTGGTGCGTGTCTTTCAATTTCCTGAAGTAAAATGATTATTAGCTGTCATTAAACAGTGGTGGCAGGTACGCGAGGCAGATGTTGTGGATGTGCTGAAAGCTCATGAGATGTGCTGGCTCTTGCTTGTGTGAGTCAGAAAAAGATGTGCAAGAATGGTTATAAGGCTTGCAATCCTTGCCTTGCTATAGCAGTGAATATGGTATCTATTGGTCAAGACATCCTGGGCTCCCCAGTGTCATGAACTTGTTTTTATACTCCAGGTAGAGCTGTAAAGAGTGGTTTCAGGCATGGAGGTCTCTCATTCTTGCCATCAATCCAATGCCAGCTGTAGCCCTTTGGGTAACGATGAGGGAAACCACTAAACCTTTCTTAAGGAAAGGGTAAGGCACTATCTGCTGATGCTCAGCACCATTTCCTCCTCTGCTTAGGAGGGCAGAGCTGGGCTGTGGAAAGGACACTATTAACAGGGTAATAAAATGGAGTTGTAAAACATTAATGCCCAGGATGATGATCTGCTAAAGCTTCCTAAAGCAGATAATTGTTTGTCTCATTGCTTGAGGAAACAGATGCAAAGTAAAATACCCTAGAAGCATTCTGGACAGTGTGAATCCTCACCAGTGTCCCCAGTCTCCACCTGGCTGGATTTCACTGGGGCTTGGGCTGCATGAGAGAGAACCTGCAGTGCAGGTGTGTCACCTAAACCCCCTGAGATAAGAGCTCTTTCTCTCTAAGCTTGTTGAAGCTCTTTGAACAGAAAAGACTGGTTCAGGAAAAAATTAGAGGTACGTCTGTGTCATCCTCTGTGGTTGTTGCAGCTTGTGAGTGCAGGGCTCTTGTCAAGGTCTCCACTATGCCCTTCTTCCCATGGCTCCCTCAGAGAGCTGTGATTGCAGACAGGGGGTAATCAGTGAACCTCTTTGGCTGGCAGCAAAAATAGAGATGTGCAGGCTGCAGGGTGTCCTCTTGAGGGAACTGACCTTTTGTGAGTACCTGGCTCCATGGCCAGCTGTGCTCCTCTGCCAGGGGGCAAATTCCTACCAGTTTCCTCAGAGGCACTCCAAGCAAGCAATGGAAGACACCAAGCCACTTTCTATTCATAGGAATAGATGAAAATCAGTCCACAGGGTTACAGCTGCACTCCTGGAGCACAGCATCCAGCTGGACAGTCTGTGGTCTTCTCCCACTGAGCAGTTTAGGAGAGCTGAGGAACTCATGGTGCTGTTCCCATGGGCTGGGCCAGAGCTTAGTGCAGGGTATGGAGGCTGTCACTGACACTGCAATTCCTCACTGGTTCTTGGCTGCTGGATTTGTTTCTCTTGGCAAGTGGGTGGTTGGACTTGATGACCTTAAGGGTCTTTTCCAACCTTATCAATTCTGTGATGCTATGAAATATGAAGCACGTAGAGGTGGCAAGACTTCAACACAGTGCTGCAGCACCAGCGAGACCCCACGTGCCACCTGCCAGGACATCCCCTGCATCTTTCCACTTGTAGTTCATTTCAGCCACGGAAGTAAGTCAGGACTGAGTGCAATTACCTGGTTTGGGGTTTTTTCCTAGAAATAAACATGTTTTAGACTAACATCTTAAAAGTTGAAGTTTTAGGATAAAGCTTAACTAAACAGCCACGGGCAAGCTTTTTTTCCCCTTTCCAGCATCCATACAGACTGAAGTCTGCCCCTGCAAATACAGTGCAAGGGGGCTGGAGTGGGTAGGCAGTTCTAGCAGTTTGAGGGGTAAGAAGAGCAGGAGCAGTGGACAGCTTAGGAAACAGGAGGCTTACTTGGTCCCTCTTAGAATTAACAACCTAAATCCCACAGATTCAGATCTGCCAGAAGGGGACATCGATGACACCTTGGTGCCAAAGCCATTGCCTGCAAATGCCAGGTCCTGTGGGCAGGACTTGGGCAGGAGCAGCGGGAGCTGAAGGGTAGGAGAGGGAGAGGAGAAAGGGAAGGAGGAGAGAGTGGAGGCAGCAAACGTGACAGAACCTAGATGTTGCCATGGAGAGTAGCTCATGAATTTTTCCTCCATGGCCTGCTATTAAAAATGTTTTGTTTAGCTTCTGCCAGCACATTGTATTTATTTTCCCCTCCCATGTCCGAAGGACATCCAGAGGGAATTCTGGCTCACTCCTTTCCCTTTGGCCTCGCTGTAGACAAAAATATACAGTCACTTGACAAGGGAGAGCTGGCACCTGCAATCCTCATCTCCACAGGGTTTGTTCCAGATCCTGAGCCTGCAGAAGGCAGGCTGTGGATGGGAGTAGCTCTCTGCTTCCCCAGCACATGTGGAAAATGTCCCAAAGCACTGTGTGCCCATGGCTGATCCCAGCTGTCTCAGCACCTGCGTAGCTCCAGCACTGAGCTCTGCATCTGTTTGTTATTAGGAGGTTTGTGTCGTGCGGTCAAAACACACTTGACAGTGTTTGTGTAGCTTCTACAGAAGACAGCCCACGTGCAAGTAAGACAGCAGTGCATTACATGGAAGGGGGGCCTGCATGGAGGTGAAGTGACTTACTAAAGCTTTAATTATACACGGACCCATCAAAATTATTTTTACTCTGCAGCACTGCAATGTTTTGAACGCTTAAAAGCAGCCACCCATAAATAGTGAGATTGAAGTACAGCTTGTTCCACTGCCAGACATTCCACAATCCTTGGGTGAAGTTTTCCAGTCCAGTCCTATGGTTTAATTCTGTTGACTTGATGCATAAAATAAGGGGGTGCTTGAAGTGTTTGAGACTGAAGAATTTATGCTGAGCAGTAAATGCAAGGCCCCACTGGATAATCCACGGTGGTGGGGCAGACCTCAGAATTCTGCCAGGACTTCCTGAATCATCTTTGCAAGTTGCACCTGCTTGATTCCTAGACTGTTTTGGGTTTTTTTTCCCTCCCCTTGGATAAATGATGTGGTCCCAGAACCACCAATGGCATTTGGCATCGTGCTTTACAATAGTATGAGCCACTGCAGAGAACACGTAGCTCCCCAGACGTGGGGGGAAACATTGCTGCGTGGACACCGAGACATAGGAAATGGGAAAGTTGTAGCAAGTAATACCTACAGCCAAGGAATATGCATTGCTATAGGTAAACTCATCAAAATACATCAGAAGTGCATGACAGCCCATCTGCATGTCAGACAGGGAATGAAGAGCCAGGGAGGCTGAAGGACCTGCCACTGGTTCTGCTGCCAGCCAGGGGCACTGCTGTGAAAACAACTGAGGCCTTGCTCCTGCTCAGTGCTTGCTTTTTTTTCTTTACTAATGGCGTAGAGGGAGAATTTCAATTAATTGGCATCCTTATTAAGTATGCCAGCATTCAGAGTAATAATGCAATTGGCTTCCAATTATAACAAACATAAGGGAGAACAAAAGGCATGAGCACTGTTTACAGCACAGGGCACTTTGCTGAGAGTTCATCTGACCTAAGTGGACTCATTCCTGCTGCTCTGTAATTTTATCAGCAATTTAAAAGCTCTTTTTTTATGGAATCAGCTCTGCTGCTGGTTTCTCTCTATTGTCTCTTGCCATGCAGAACTTTCTGTATTTATATTGTCTGTTATTAAACCAGGTACTTAACCCACCTTGTGCTCCCTTCTCCTCCTGCCAGCAGCTGTGAGCACAGGTGTGGATACTCTGCCACGGCTCTCCTAGTCCCAGGCTGCTCTGCACTCACCCACTGCAGGAGCCTGGGACTTAAA